CGAAGGCAGGAGATGAATAGATCTGGGTTTGTTTGTTTTTTTAAATCATCAAGTTTACAGGATTATCAATCAAGGGTTCCTTCCCCCCCCCTTTTTCCATTTTATAATGAAAGCCTTGCGGTTCCTCGTTGCAAAGATGTTAAGATTAATGGACCTTCAAAATGAACACCATCTTTTGGCAGGCAGGTGTGGTTCTGGAAGAGGAGGGGGGGGAGACTGTGGGGTCTTGGTGCTCTCTGAGCTGGTTGGTTTTCTTTCAGACATTTCATTACCCAACTAGGGAACATCATCAATCCTAGAAGGAAGGGGGGGGGGTTGCAAGGAGGAGGAGTAGGAGGAGGAAGACTGTGGGGACTGGTGCCCTCTGAGCTTAGTGGTTTCCTTGCAGACATTTCATTACCCAACTAGGGAACTTCATCAGTGCTAGAAGGGGGGGAGGAGGAGGAGGAGGAAGAGGAGGAGGAGGAGGAAGAAGAAGAAGAGGAGGAGGACTGTGGGGTTCCTAATGCTGTCTGAGCTTGGTGGTTTTCTTGCAGATGTTTCATGACCCAACTAGGGAACATCATCAGTGCTAGAAGGGAGGAGGATTTATGGAGAGGAGGAGGAGGAGGAGGAGGACCATGGGGTCCTTGATGCTCTCTGAGCTCGGTGGTTTTGTTGCAGACGTTTCATGACCCAACTAGGGAACATCATCAATGCTAGAAGGAAGGGGGGGTTGCGAGGAGGAGGAGGAGGAGGAGGAGGAGGAGGAAGAGGAGGAGGAGGAGAAAGGGACTGTGGGGACCCTGGTGCCCTCTGAGCTTGGTGGTTTTGTTGCAGACATTTCATGACCCAACTAGGTAACATCATCAATGCTAGAAGGGATTTATGGAGAGGAGGAGGAGGAGGAGAAGGAGAAGAAGGAGGAGGAGGATTGTGGGGTCCTTGGTGCTCTCTGAGCTTGCAGACGTTTCATGACCCAACTAGGGAACATCACCAGTGCTAGAAGGGAGGAGGAGGAGGAGGAGGAGGAGGAGGAGGATGACGACAACTGTGGGGTCCTTGATGCTCTCTGAGCTGGGTGGTTTTCTTGCAGACGTTTCATGACCCAACTATGTAACATCATCAATGCTAGAGAGATACTTCCAGGCTACTTACAACCATTCATTTACCCACCATCCCAAGTTATAATGGCACTGAAAAAAAGGTGACTTAGGACCGTCACACCCTCCCCATGGTCACATGATCCAAATTTGGCCCTTTGGCCACAGGCATGCCTTTGCAACAGTTGCGGCGTCCCGGGATCACGTGAATCACCATTGGCCAATTTCTCCGCCTTCTGATAAGGAAAACTCAATTAACCAGGGGAACTCCTTGACTCCAGAAGTTGTGAACGCTCCATCACTGGAGGTTTTCCAGAAGAGACTAGACAGCCTTTTGTCTGAAATGATGTAGGGTCTCCTGCTTGGGCAGGGGGTTGGACTAGATGACCTCCACGTCCCCTTCCAATTCTGTTATTCTGTATTCTGATGGGGTTGGACTAGAAGATCTCTAAGGTCCCTTCCAATTCTGTTATTTTGTTCTGTAATCCCACGCCTTAGCAGAATCCCAAGGACAAGCTGAGATACTTCCGTGATTTAGCATCCATTGCACTGTTTCCCCCATTCAGAAGCGGGGGGGGGGGGGGGAGAAGAGAAGGCAATATCCTGTACAATTTATTTTATTCACACTTCATTACACAACACCGCAAAGACTTTTGGGGGGGGGGGAAACCAACATTTGACAACTTCCCCACAGAGACAATTCTTGAAGAACTAGCTCCCCCTTGAGGTGAGATATGGTGGCTGTCTTAGAAAGTGGCTGCTTTATTACGGAATAACAAGAGGTGGAAGGAACCTTGGAGGTCATCTAGTCCAGCCCCAAGCTCGGGGAGGAAGCCCTATGCTACCATTTCAGACAAATGGCCATTCAGGATACAAACACTGGCTGTGTCAACCAGGTTAACGATATGTAAAATTAGATTAGATTGGATTAGATAACCTTTATTGTCTTTTTTTTGTGTGGGCACAACGGCACACATTAAAAATAAAATTTAGTTGCTTGCTCTCAAAGCATACACACATACACATATCACACATTTAAAACATACTGTATACAACATATGTTAGGGCTACACCCTTACATAGCAACCTGGAACTAAGGAGAAACTTCCTGACAGTGAGGACAATTAACCCGTGGAACTCCTTGCCTCCAGAAGCGGTGAATGCTCCAACACTGGAAGTTTTTAAGAAGAGACTGGACAGCCATTTGTCCGAAATGGTATAGGGTTTCCTGCCTGAGCAGGGGGTTGGAATAGATGACCTCCAAGGTCCCTTCCAACTTTATTATTATTATTATTAACAACCTGCCTCCAGAAGCTGTGAATGCTCCAACACTGGAGGTTTTTAAGAAGAGACTGGACAGCCATTTGTCCGAAGTGGTATATAGGGTTTCCTGCCTGAGCAGGGGGTTGGACTAGATGACCTCCAAAATCCCTTCCAACATCATCATCATCATTATTATTATTATATAAGTAACGTGTAAATATTATTCGCTGTCTATCTTGAATCAGTAGAGTAAAATGCAATCCAGCAGATAATTTCAGTTGGAAAATTTAAGCAAAGTCCGTGGGGAAAGCCAGGTTCACTTAACAAGCATGTTACTAACCGCTGCCGTGATCCGCTTAACAACGGTCATAAGAAAGCTTGCAAAATATGGCCAAACAAATGGCTTATGCTCAAGTTAAAAGGGGATAAAGTTTTAACTTTAGTACGAGCAAATTGTATCCAGCCAAGAACCTACAGCCATCCAGGATGGTGTACCACAAAAAAAAAAAAAAAAAAAGTAATTAAAACCCAGATCCGGTCTCATGGTGACTCATTTTACGACAGTCACGACTTATGACCGTAACGGGGCAAACTCCATTACTGTCCTAGGTTGAGGATTGTGGTTAGTTGCGATATGTAGATCAACTAAAAGTCAGTATCTCCACGCCATCCAGATCCTACTTGTCCCAAGAGGCAAATGGACTTTGTTTTTCCCCGAAGACTTTTCGCTTCTCCTCCAGGAAGCTTCTTTAGTTCTGACTGAATGGCGGAGGACGGAAGGGTTTTTACTCCTTGCAGTCACCTGGTTGTTAGTGCTCCCTCTGAGAATCACTGAGGCCACTTGGAGGCGTATCTGCGCCCTCAGGGTCCCCTGAATACACGCAATCCTTGACTTACAACGGTTCATTCAGTGACCGTTCAAAGTTACGACAGCGCTGAAAAAAAGGTGACTTAGGACCATCGCACCCTCCCCATGGTCACATGATCCAAATTTGGCCCTTTGGCCACAGGCATGCCTTTGCCACAGTTGCAGCATCCCGGGATCATGTGAATCGCCATTTTGCGAATTTCTCGGCCGCCTTCTGATAAGGAAAACTCAATTAACCAGGGGAACTCCTTGACTCCAGAAGTTGTGAACGCTCCATCACTGGAAGTTTTCCAGAAGAGACTGGACAGCCTTTTGTCTGAAATGATGTAGGGTCTCCTGCTTGGGCAGGGGGTTGGACTAGATGACCCCCTTCCAACTCTGTTATTCTGTATTCTGACGGGGTTGGACTAGAAGACCTCTAAGGTTTTTCAGTTATGACTTTTCCAGCATCCCCCTGATCATGTGATCAAGATTCATGACGCCTGGCAACTGGTTCATACTTATGACTGTTGCTGTGTCCCAAGATCATGTGATCCTCTTCTGCAGCCTTCTGACAAGGCCTTCTGAAGTCGTCACATGGAGCAAAATTCACTTAACAAATGTCTTGCTTAACGACTGAAACTTTGGCCTCCATTGCGGTCATAAGTCGAGGACTCCCTGAACAGTGCAAATGAGTGTGGCGCCTTTTTGGAACTGCTGAAAGGACTGTGTTGTAACTCCATTCAGCAGTTCCAAGAAGGCTCCACACCTATTTGCACTTTTCAGGTAATGCTGAGGGGAAAAACTAAACCAGGGTAGGCAATCTTGGCTCTTTTATGACTGGTCGACTTCAACTCCCAGAATTCCTGAACCAACATGGGGGAACTATGGCCCCCTTCATGGCTCATGGACTTCAACTCCCAGAATTCCTGAGCCAGCATGGGGGAACTATGGGCCCCCTCATGACTCGTGGACTTCAACTCCCAGAATTCCTGAGCCAGCATGGGGGAACTATGGGCCCCCTCATGACTCGTGGACTTCAACTCCCAGAATTCCTGAGCTAGCATGGGGGAACTATGGCCCCTTTATGACTTGTGGACTTCAACTCCCAGAATTCCTGAGACAGCATGGCAACCTCTCCATTTCTCCTCAGCATGGCTGGCTCAGGAATTCTGGGAGTTGAAGTCCACCAGTCATGAAGGGGCCAAAGTTTCCCTCATGCTGGCTCAGGAATTCTGGGAGTTGAAGTCCACAAGTCATGAAGGGGGCCATAGTTCCCCCATGCTGGCTCAGGAATTCTGGGAGCTGAAGTCCACCAGTCATGGAGGGGGCCATAGTTTCCTCATGCTGGCTCAGGAATTCTGGGAGTTGAAGTCCACCAGTCATGAAGGGGCCAAAGTTTCCCTCATGCTGGCTCAGGAATTCTGGGAGTTGAAGTCCACCAGTCATAAAAGAGCCAAGGTTGCCTACCCCTGAACTAAAACCTTCCAGTGGCCTCAATGAGTCTCAGAGAGAGTACTAATGACCAGATGACTGCAAGAGATAGAAATTCTTCCGCCTGAACTGAAGAAGCTTCTTGGATGAAAAGCGAAATGTCTTCAAAGGAGAAACGAAGACGGTCTAGTTGCCTTTTGAAAAAGCACCTTTGGGACAAAAGAAAAGTCAGTATGTCGAGTGATTGGTAGAAATAATAAAGGCAGGGGGATAGAGATAAATCAATAAATACGCATTAAGAAGCGACGAAATTAGCAAGCGGGGTTACCGACAGCTCACAAGAGGAAAAGGCCAAGCGTAGGAAGGTGACTTACTTTCGGAGATGTTCGTTCTCCTTCAAGAAAAGCTCCGTTCGTCTGTTGTTGACACCGCACCCACTTTTGTACGACCTGCAAGGTGTGGACAAAAATGGAAAACGGGTGAAAAAGAATTCAGACTTTAAGTACTGGTAACGTACGGCAGCAGTGGGCAACTAGGGCGCCTTTAATGACCTGTGGACTTCAACTCCCAGAATTCCTGAGCCAGTATGGCTGGGTCAGGAATTCTGGGAGTTGAAGTCCACAGGCTCAGCTGCACAGCTGGCTGAGGAATTCTGGGAATTGAAGTCCACAGGCTCGGCCACACGGCTGGCTGAGGAACTCTGGGAGTTGAAGTCCACAGGCTCAGTTGCATGGCTGGCTGAGGAATTCTGGGAGTTGAAGTCCACAGGCTTGGCCACACGGCTGGCTGAGGAACTCTGGGAGTTGAAGTCCACAGGCTCAGTTGCATGGCTGGCTGAGGAATTCTGGGAATTGAAGTCCACAGGCTCGGCCACACGGCTGGCTGAGGAACTCTGGGAGTTGAAGTCCACAGGCTCAGTTGCATGGCTGGCTGAGGAATTCTGGGAGTTGAAGTCCACAGGCTTGGCCACACGGCTGGCTGAGGAACTCTGGGAGTTGAAGTCCACAGGCTCAGTTGCATGGCTGGCTGAGGAATTCTGGGAATTGAAGTCCACAGGCTCAGTTGCATGGCTGGCTGAGGAATTCTGGGAGTTGAAGTCCACAGGCTTGGCCACACGGCTGGCTCAGCAATTCTGGGAGTTGAAGTCCACAGGCTCAGCTGCACAGCTGGCTGAGGAATTCTGGCAGTTGAAGTCCACAGGCTCAGCTGCACAGCTGGCTGAGGAATTCTGGGAATTGAAGTCCACAGGCTCGGCCACATGGCTGGCTCAGGAATTCTGGGAGTTGAAGTCCACAGGCTCAGCCACACGGCTGGCTGAGGAATTCTGGGAATTGAAGTCCACAGGCTCAGCCACACGGCTGGCTCAGGAATTCTGGGAGTTGAAGTCCACAAGCTCGGCCGCACAGCTGAGGAATTCTGGGAGCTGACGTCCACAGGCTCGGCCGCACGGCTGGCTGAGGAATTCTGGGAGTTGAAGTCCACAGGTCATAAAGGTGCCACAACTGCCCACTCCTGACTTATGAGGACACCCCCCCCTTCCTAAATTTGGACAAGTGCCAGCCTAATTCCTTTCTTTGGAATATGACTTTTCCAATCCATTTCAGCAGAGGCCTCTTGTGTGTGTTTGTGACCACTGCAACTTCAACACTGGCTCATGAGTAGCTTTGGGGCGCTGTAATTTTGAACGGTCATTAAGTCGAGGACTATCTGCATTGAACACAAGGCCACGTTTGCAATCGTTCAGGTTGTGCGCAAATAAAACAACTCTCTTTCTCTCTCAAACACACACACACACAAACACACACACAGACATAACACACACAGAGTTACTGATTACAAGAGCACGCCCTGTTGTTATTGAGAGTGTGAAGTTCAAAGTCTCCAAGGAATAATGTTATTTGAAGTTCCGGGATCAGAGCTGTGCCAATACTAACACAATGCAAAGTCTTAAGAGCAAGTCAACTACTCGGTGAACAGCCTCAGAGGCCACGCAAACAGGAGTCCCAAAGTCAAAAGGCCTACAGGTAGGCCTTGACTCACAACCACTTGTTAAGTAGAATAGGGCTTTTCAACTTTTTCACCCATTGTACCACTTTTAGGATATGGCAACATTCAAGTACCACCAGTCACCTAGCAAAGTGTCAAAAACTTGACCAAAAAAAAAAAGGAAAAAAGTGATAAAGTACAGGTAGTCCTCGACTTACAACAGTTCGCTTAGTGACTGTTTGAAGTTACAATGGCCCTGAAAAAAGTGCCCCCCAAGCCACAGCCGAGCAAGACACCTGCGCCCGGCAGCGCTCTCATTCCCCTGCCCCACTACCACTTTTCTAGGATGGTCGCATACCACCTGCCAGGTGCCAATGTACCACAGGTGGTATCCGTACCACTGGTTGAAAAGCCCTGGAATAAAATAGAGCTGGAAGGGACCCTGGAGGTCTTCTAGTCCAGCCCCCGTCTCAGACAAGTGACTGTCTAGTCCAGGGGTAGGCCACCTTGGCTCTTTTATGACTCGTGGAGTTCAACTCCCAGAATTCCTGAGCCAGCCATGCTGAGGGGAAAGGGAGAGGTTTCCAAGCTGAGCCATGCTGGCTCAGGAATTCTGGGAGTTGAAGTCCACGAGTCATGAAGGGGCCAAAGTTTCCCTCATGCTGGCTCAGGAATTCTGGGAGTTGAAGTCCACGAGTCATGAAGGGGGCCATAGTTCCCTCATGCTGGCTCAGGAATTCTGGGAGTTGAAGTCCACAAGTCATAAAAGAGCCAAGGTTGCCTAGCCCTGGTCTAGCCTCTTCTTAAAAATCTCCAGTGATGGAGCGCTCACTATTTCTGGTGGCCAGCTGTTCCACTGGTTGATTGTCCTGTCAGGTGTCTCCTTAGTGACCGTTCGAAGTTACAATGGCAATGAAGTAAATGTGACTTATGACTGTTTTTCACACTTACGACCACTGCAGCATCCTCACGCTCACGTGATGAAAATTCGGATTTATTTTTAAATTCGCATTTATTAATATTATTATTATTCATTAGACGTGAACCTAAAATGAACTGAACATTCAAATTGACTGGCGCTGATGGTTGACATGGGTTGTTGTTATTATTATTATTATCCCTTGATTTACAATGGTTTTACTGACCATCTGAAGTTACAACAGCACCGAAAAAAGTGAATTATGACCTTACAACTGTTGTAGTGTTCCCCATGGTCACGTGATCAAAATTCAATTTATTTTTAAATTTGGATTTATTAAATTATTATCATTGTTGTTGTTATTATTATTATTATTATTATACAGGGATTCCGTTAATAACTGTGGCAACAGAACAGGCCTCGCCACCTGCATTCAGTAAAGCCTTCACTGACAGAGCACGAAAGGCAGATGTCACGTACGATTGGCACTTTTCCCTGTGCCCATTGTAACTTCAAACGGTCACTAAATGAACTGTTCTAAATCGAGGACTACTTGCAATAATAATCATAATAATAACAATAACAATTGTAATAATGGGTCCTTGGTGCTGTCTGAGCTAGTTTTCTTGCAGATGTTTCATTACTCAGCTAGGTAACATCATCAGGACTAACACTGATGATGGTACCTAGTTGGGTTATGAAACATCTGCAAGAAAACATCAAAGGACCCCTCAGTCCTCCCCCTTCTAACACTGATGATGGTACCTAGTTGGGTTATGAAACGTCTGTAAGAAAACATCCAGTTGTCCTCTTCCTCCTTCTCCTCCTCCTCCTCAACCCTCCCTCCATTCTAGCACTGATGATGTTACTTAATTAGGTCATGAAATGTCTGCAAGAAAACCATCAAGCTCAGAGAGCACCAAGGACCCCATAGCTGCCCTCCTCCTCCTCCTCCTCCTAGCACTGATGTTACTACCTAGTTGGGTTATGAAATGTCTGCAAGAAAACATCCAGTCGTCGTCGTTCTCCTCCTCCCCCCTCCCACTTCTAGCACTGATGATGCTACCTCGTTGGGTTATGAAACGTCTGCAAGAAAAGAAGCAAGTTCAGAGAGCACCAAGGACCTCTCATTTCAACCCTGAGCTACAAATATTCAATAATAATAATAATAATAATAATAATAATAATAATAATAATAATAATAATAATATGATCATGATGATGATGAGAATGATGAGAATAAAAAATTAACAACTTACTCAATATCTTTCCGGACTGATCCCATAAGATTCTCTCTTTCCCGCACTGCCACGAAATTGGTTTTGGTTTTGTGGAATTCGTGGGTGTAATCCTGTTGAGAAAAATACAAAATGACTCCAGCTGGTTAGAGGTCTAGGAGCTGAAAAGAGAATTTGCAGCCCTCAACCATCAATGTCAGCTAGGCTGAAGTCCAAATATTGTTACGATCCTTTAAAGGGGAGATCAAGAGACACTAAAGTAAGGGTCTCCAACCTTGGGGAATGTAACACTTGTGGACTTCAACTCCCAGAATTCCCCAGCCTTCCAAACCTGACCACTTTAAGACAGGTGGACTTCAACTCCCAGAATTCCCTAGCCTTCCAAACCCAACCACTTTAAGATGTGTGGACTTCAACTCCCAGAATTCCCCAGCCTTCAAAACCTGGCCACTTATTTTCATATTTGGTGGACTTGTAGAAATATAAAAGCTTTTGGGATTAAGATTTGGTGGAACATTCAAAAGATTTTTAAGAGAAAGATAAAGTTTACCCCACAATTATTTTTGTTAGGTGTTATTGTAGATTTTGATGTTAAAGAAATTAATTTGATGTTGAATCTTATAACAGCTGCAAGATTATTGGTGGGGCAATATTGGAAGAAAGATTCTTTGCCTACTATGGAAGAATGGATACTCAAGTTGTCTAATTTAGCAGAAATGGCAAAAATCTCCGCTTATTTGAAGGACCATTCACAAGAAAGATATATTTCGGTTTGTTGAAGATGGATAGATTATATTCAGAATAAATATGAGACTAAAAAGTATTATCTAGCATGAGTAAATTTTAGATTATTATTAATAGTTTAATATGGTTGAATTTATATTAGTTTTAGTATTATGGTTTAATTATATTATTATTTTCATTTTTAATTTGTTGATATTTATCTTGAAAAGGAGTTAAAGTATGCTATGGATTTGATTGTTAGTATAGTTGGGTAATGTTAGTTAGATTATGATTGTTTATTTGTAACCCTGTAATCAGCTCTGGGAAGTGGGGGAGGGGTGGGAGGGGTGGGAGGGATTTGGGATATATATTGTATAAAATTTTTAAAACTTTTAATAAAAAAAAAATTCCTAAAAAACAAGAAACCTGGCCACTTTAAGACTTGTGGACTTCAATTCCCAGAATGCTCTAGCTTCCAGACATGGCCATTTCAAGACTTGTGGACTTCAACTCACGGCTGGGGAATTCTGGGAGTTGAAGTCCACAAGTCTTAAAAGTTTCCAAGATTGGAGAACCCTGCCCTAAAAGATACTTCAGGTAAACATACACCATGCTCCAGTGTGAAAAGTTCTTGAGATCTTGGAGCTACCACTGGGAGAATCATCCAGGCGGTGCCGACAAGCAGGCCTAGGGGTTACAGAGGCAGACCCAAAGGACGGGGTGGGCCTCCAAAATGCTTCCCAGAGACTCTGCTTCAATACCTGCCCACCCTAGCAAAGGTGGCTGATGATTTGCACCCGATTCACAAAAGCCTGGGGTTGCAAAAGTCCTGCATTCTAATTATAATAAAGTTGGAAGGGAGCTTGGAGGTCATCTAGTCCAACCCCCATTAGTTGACGTCACGTTGGACTGACTAAGTCCTCAACTTACAACTACTTTAGTGCCCATTAGAAGTTACTAGGACAATCTTTCGGGATTTTTTTTTTAATTGAAAATTTTTACAGTTTTACAATAAAATAATCCCCCTCTCCCACCACCCCTCCCCCCCTCATCCTCCCCCCTTATTCCCAGAGCTGAATACAGGGTTAATAAAAAACTAAAAAAAACCTTACAACTTAAATAAACATCAAACAATTGTAAATACATTCAAAAACCAAAATTTTAAATACTTTATAACTCCAATATTCAAATTCGGTACCTTGAGTCCACCTCTCTCTCGAACATCTTGTATAATTTTAAATTTTACTCTTGGTTTTTTCCCCGCCCAAATAAATTTATTAATACCTTTCTGCCATTCTTCTAAATTTACCTCCTTCTTTAAAAAAGGTATCATTTGAAACAAAAAAAGAAACTTTGGCAAAACATTCATTTTAACCGCAGCAATTCTCCCCAACAAAGATAATTGCAATTTTTTTCCAATCATTCAAATTTTTCTGTATTTTAAACCACAACTTTTCGACTATCTTTTGGGATTGGTGGCCCAGCAGGAGAGGGGGGCAGCTGCCTTATGCGTGGAGGTGCAAACATGAACGGGGCTACACATGCGCGCACTTGCAAGCAGGCTGCCAGCATGCGCACCACGCAAACGGGGCTGCCAGCATGCGCGTGAGGCTCTTAGCAACGGTGGTGCCTGTGTATGGCTTGTGGCACCGCTGCCAGCTCACAGCCATGCTACCACCGGTGCGAGGCTCACACCGCTCCCACCCCAGGTGACGGTTGCTCATGCAAGTTTCGTGGCAACACTGCTGCCTGCACGATACTAGCAGTGCTGCCATCACCCACACAACGCTTGTGGCAACAGTGACACGAGAGGGGTTGAGCATAGCTATTCATGTGGCCCGGTGGCCAAGAGGCCACAGACCAGTAGTGGGTCACAGCTCATAGGTTGGGGACCTCTCTACTAGGAACCGAAAAAAGGGATCTGTGACCACAGGTCACACTTTACAACCATCACAGCATCCCCCACGTGATCAGTTTGGGCACTTGACAATCGGGATGTATTTACAAAGGTTGCAGGGTCCATGGGGAAAGCTGGACTGGCTGATTGACTTAACCCCCGTGGCCCCCAAAAGGTCATCAAATCAGGCTCGACTCGGTTAACAACCGCCTTGCTTAGCAATGGAAAGTCTGATCCCAATATCTCGGGGGCTGCCCCAAAGAAGAGGGAGTCAAGCTGTTCTCCAAAGCGCCTGAAGGCAGGACAAGAAGCAACGGGTGGAAACCAATCAAGGAGAGAAGCAACCTAGGAGAAATTTCCTGACAGTGAGAACAATTAACCAGTGGAACTCCTTGCCACCAGAAGCTGTAAGCACTCCAACACTGGAAGTTTTTAAGAAGAGACTGGACAGCCATTTGTCTGAAATGGTATAGGGTTTCCTGGCGGAGCAGGGGGTTGGACTGGATGACCTCCAAGGTCCCTTCCAACTTTATTATTATTATTAAGAACCTGCCTCCAGAAGCGGTGAATGTTCCAACGCTGGAAGTTTTTAAGAAGAGACTGGACAGCCATTTGTTCGAAATGGGATATGGTTTCCTGCCTGAGCAGGAGGTTGGACTAGATGATCTCCAAGGTCCCTTCCAACTTTACTACTGCTACTACTATTACTACTACTATTATATTATTATTATTATTATTATTATCGATCATCGCACAGTCAGCCAGATGTTCAGACTGGATTTGGCATTTTGTCTATCGAGTCCTTACCCAGGACCTGGGATAGGCAGATGTGGATGTTTGATGGTATTACAGATATCGTCGCAGGATGGAAGCAGTTCCTAATAAGGCCGCCTTTTGCAATTGACTAATAGCGAATTTGTCAATGCCAATGGTGTTCAAGTGGTGCTCCAGTTGTTTTGGGATTGCACCCAAGGCGCCTATGACTATTGGTACTACCCTTGCTTGCTTTTGCCACAGTCTTTCTATTTCTATTTGTAGGTCTTTGTATTTTGTTATCTTCTCCAGTTCTTTCTCTTCTATTCTGCTATCTCCAGGCACTGCCACGTCCACTATCCAGACTTTTTTGTCTTTCTTATCGACAATTGTTAAGTCTGGGGTGTTATGTTGCAGGTGCTTGTCTGTTTGAATTCTGAAGTCCCAGAGCAGTTTAATTTTATCATTTTCTATGACTTTCTCTATTTTATGATTCCACCAGTTTTTGCTTACAGGCAAATGATATTTTTTGCAGATCTTCCATGCACCATTGTTGCTACTTTGTCATGCCGCTGCTTGTAATCAGTCTGTGCAATCTTCTTGCAACAGCTTACCAAGTGGTCCACTGTTTCTTCAGCTTCTTTGCATAGGCGGCACTTACTGTCTGTTGCTGTCTTCTCAATTTTGACTTTGTATGCATTTGTCCTTAAGGCTTGGTCTTGTGCAGCCAGAATTAGTCCCTCGGTCTCTTTCTTCAATTTTCCTGCTCTTAGCCATTGCCAGGTTTTATTATTATCTGCTTTCCCAGCTATTTTTTTTCATGTATTGGCCATGTAGTGCTTTGTCTTCCCATGCCTCTATTCTGTTCTTCATTTGGTCTTTCTTGTAGGCCAGTTTGGTCTCTCCAGTAGTTAGTAAGCCTTCCTGATATACTAATTTCAGTGCATCTTCATCATTGTTCTTCAGATATTCTTCCAAAGCCATTTTTTCTTCTTCAACCATCTGATGTACTTGTAGCATTCCACGCCCACCTATTTGCCTTGGTAGATAAAGTCTATCAATGTCACTGCGTGGATGAAGGGCATGATTCATTGTCATTATTTTTCTGGTCTGCCTATCCATTGCTTTTAGTTCTGCTTGAGTCCAGTCCACTATTCCAGCTGTGTACCTAATGACTGGGATTGCCCAGGTGTTGATTGCCTTTATGGTATTTCCTCCAGTGAGTTTGGATTTTAAGATCTTCTTCACTCTCTTGATGTATTCACCTCTAATCTTTTTCTTGACTTCAGTGTGCTTGATGTTGTCAGCTTGGAGGATACCCAAGTACTTGTAGTACTCTTCCTCATCCAGACTCTTAATGTTATTTTCGTGGGGCATCTTGATTCCTTCAGTTTTCACTATTTTTCCTTGTTTGATAGTAAGTGTGGCACATTTGTCCAAGCCAAACTCCATTACAATATCTTGGCTATATATACGGACAGTGTTGAGCAGCGATTCTATTTCAGATGATGTTTTTCCATACAGCTTCAGATCATCCATATAAAGGAGGTGGGATAGTCTGGCAGATGTTTTATTATTATTATTATTATTATTATTATTATTATTATTATTATTATTATTATTATTCTCTAACTAGAAAAGGCTCAGCCAATACGAGGCAGTCCTCAACCTACAACACTTTGTTTAGTGACCGTTCAGAGTTACAACGGCATCGGGAAAAACCGACTGAGGGGCGTTTTTCACACTTACGACCGTTGTAGCAATGGTCTCGTAATCAAAACACAGACGCTTGGCAACTGGCTCGCATTTATGACGGTTGCGTGATCCCCTTTTGCGACCTTCCCACAAGCAAAGTCAGTGAGGGAAGCCGGATTTGCTTAACGACCGTGTGACTGACTTAACAATGGCAGGGATTCACTTTAACAACGCTGGCAAGGAAGGTCATAAAATGGGGCAAAACTCACTTCACAGACGTCTTGCTTAGCGACGGAAATTTTGGGCTCCCCGGTGGTCGTAAGTCGAGGACCGCCTGTAAATAGGGGAGGAAGCCCCACGTTCAGGGGAGACGGCCTTACCTGTAAGATGTCTCTGTGCCGTTGCAGGGTGTGCATCAGAGCCGCGTTGAGGGAGGGGACACCGGCGCTGTTGGTGTACTCCGCCATTTTGTCGTTGACCCCGGTCAGCTGCAACAGGGAGAACGAGACATTAGGGCTTTTGGAGACGAGAGCTGCCTGGATCTGAGTCAAACAATTCAGTAAGTGCAAACTTTACATGACGCCTCAGACATATGGAGACGGTTAATAGCCAAAGTTTGCTTCACCAGACATACAGGAGGCTGACATCTCCTCTCTCCCTGCCTTTAAAGCAAGGGGATAGGGGTACAACCTTGGCAACTTTTAAGATCTGTGGACTTCCACTCCCAGAATTCCCCAGCCAGCCTGCTTTAAGAGGGGTGGACTTCCACTCCCAGAATCCCCCAGCCAGCCTGCTTTAAGAGGGGTGGACTTCCACTCCCAGAATCCTGCAGTCAGCATCCTTTAAGAGGGGAGGACTTCCGCTCCCAGAATCCCCCAGCCAGCCTGCTTTAAGATGGATGGACTTCAACCCCCAGAATTCCCCAGCCAGCCTGCTTTAAGAGGGGGGGACTTCTACTCCCAGAATCCCCCAGTCAGCATCCTTTAAGAGGGGTGGACTTCCACTCCCAGAATCCCCCAGCCAGCATGCTTTAAGAGGGGTGGACTTCCACTCCCAGAATCCCCCAGTCAGCATTCTTTAAGAGGGGTGGACTTCCACTCCCAGAATCCCCCAGCCAGCATGCTTTAAGAGGGGTGGACTTCCACTCCCAGAATCCCCTAGTCAGTATCCTTTAAGAGGGGTGGGCTTCCACTCCCAGAATCCCCCAGCCAGCATGCTTTAAGAGGGGTGGACTTCCACTCCCAGAATCCCCTAGTCAGTATCCTTTAAGAGGGGTGGGCTTCCACTCCCAGAATCCCCCAGCCAGCATGCTTTAAGAGGGGTGGACTTCCACTCCCAGAATCCCCTAGTCAGTATCCTTTAAGAGGGGTGGGCTTCCACTCCCAGAATCCCCCAGCCAGCCTGCTTTAAGAGGAGTGGACTTCCACTCCCAGAATTCCCCAGTCAGACAGGAAAAACAAGGAAGTCCAGTGGCCTCCTGAAAAAACCCCTCTGGGACAAGTATGACCTGGATGGCTGAGAAATTCCATGGACAAGGCACTCCGGCCTTCCTTGAAAGCCCCTCCCATGTTTTAACCGGGGTCCAAGCTGGGCCGCCAGGACGGCCCTCTTACCTTCCCCAAGAGCTGCTCAATTTCCACGGCCATGGCTTCGAACATCCGGTCTTGGCTCGATCCGTTCAGGAGAGGCGTTGTGTCCGAGCTGGAGGAAGGAGCGACACAAGAGGTAGCGTTCCATTAAATTTTAATCCAGGGCGTAAAATCTTCGATCACCTTTACTTATTACATTTTCCTTATCCCGTCTTTATTATTATGTAGTAAGTAATTCAAGGCAGCGGACGGACGTCATGCTTCTTCCTCCTCCGAGTTTCCCCATAACAACCCTGTGAGGCAGGTTGGGCTAACAGAGAGGAATGGGCCCTAAGTCACTTAGCTGGCTTTCATGCCTAAGGCAGGACTAGAACTCACCATCGCCGGGCGATTGGCCCACAGTCACCCTGCTGGCTTTCATCCCTAAGGCAGGACTAGAACTCACAGCCTCCTGGTGATTGGCCCTAAGTCACCCAGCTGGCTTTCATGCCTAAGGCGGGACTAGAATTCACAGTCTCCTAGTGACTGGCCCAAAGTCACCCAGCTGGCTTTCATCCCTAAGGCAGGACTAGAACTCACAGCCTCCTGGTGATTGGCCCAAAGTCACCCAGCTGGCTTTCAAGCCTAAGGCAGGACTAGAACTCACCGTCTCCTGGTGATTGGCCCACAGTCACCCAGCCGGCTTTCATCCCTAAGGCAGGACTAGAACTCACAGCCTCCTGGCGATTGGCCCAAAGTCACCCAGCCGGCTTTCATCCCTAAGGCGGGACTAGAACTCACAGTCTCCTGGTGATTGGCCCATAGTCACCCAGTTGGCTTTCATGCCTAAGGCGGGACTAGAACTCACTGCCTCCTGCTTTCTAGACCAGCACCTTAGCCCCTCTACCAAACCGGCTCTCATTTATTTCATTTTCAACTCATTTCAGTTATTCAAACTTGCTGGAGGATCAAGACACCTCAATAGAGCACATGCTTGCAAATATTTGCAAAACTTAATACATTTAAATAAGTAAAAATAGTTGCACATTGGATGCAAATGTGGGCCTCGATTGAGGAAAGGCTGATACGCCTCCAAGACCTTATTTGCTCCTCCGGGCTGCCTCTTCTCCTGCTTGAGCAGGGGGCTGGACTAGAAGGCCTCCAAGGTCCCTTCTAGCTCTAGTCCATTCCATTACATTTTTCTATTCTATTCTGTATTCTATTCTATTTCCATATATTTTATTCTTTCCATATTCTATTCTATTCTATTCTATTCTATTCTATTCTATTCTATTCTATTCTATTCTATTCTATTCTATTCTATTCTATTCTATATTCTATTCTATTTCCATGTATTCTATTCTTTCCATATTCTATTCTATTCTACATTCTATTCTATTTCCATATATTCTATTCTTTCCATATTCTATTCTATTTATTCTATTCTATATTCTATTCTATTTCCATATATTCTATTCTTTCCATATTCTATTCTATTCTATATTCTATTCTATTTCCATATATTCTATTCTTTCCATATTCTATTCTATTTCCATGTATTCTATTCTATTTTATTCTATTCTATATTCTATTCTATTTCCATATATTCTATTCTTTCCATATTCTATTCTATTCTATTTCCATGTATTCTATTCTTTCCATATTCTATTCTATTTTATTCTATTCTATATTCTATTCTATTTCCGTATATTCTATTCTTTCCATATTCTATTCTATTCTATTCTATTCTATTCTATTCTTTCCATATATTCTATTATTTCCATAGATTCTATTCTTTCCATATTCCATTCCATTCCATTCCATTCCATTCCATTCCATTCTATTCTATTCTATTCTAAATTCTAATTCTAATGTTCTAAGAATTTCCCAAGCGAGACTCCCTCAGGCCTGAAATTTAAACATTTCCAGAAGCGCAAAACCAAAGCAAATGAAGAAAGCGGGCTATCGGGCATGGAAAAAAAAATGAAAAATTGACCGTTGCAATGAAAAAAAATTGAATGAAGTAGCAGTGATACTACCTATACCTGTCGCGCCTTCCATCCTGAGAACTGCCGTGGCTGTAGCTGGTGCACAATTTACTAAAGGAGACCAGTTTGAGGTCCAGTTCGTTTTCCAGCTGCCGGGCCTGCTTCCTTAGATCTGCCGAAAAAAACGAGAGAAAAATTGATGCTTCGCTGCCCGTCTGCTTTCTTCTCCATCCCTGCAACTCTCAATTGGTTGAAATCACGTCTGGAAATTCTTTGCTACCCTGAAGACTTAACTATACTTCAACTCCCAGAATTCCCCAGCCAGCATTTGTTTCACCCCAGTGTGCAGATCTTTTTGCTTTTTGGCCGTAGGGGAGAAGCAAACCGCTGCAGTTGTTAAGTGAATCAGGTGGTCGTTAAGCGGATCTGGTTTCCTCCGCTGACTTTGCTTTCGGAAGGAGAGAAGCAACCTAGAACTAAGGAGAAACTTCCTGACAGTGAGAACAATTAACCAGTGGAACAATTTGCCTCCAGAAGCGGTGAATGCTCCAACACTGGAGGTTTGTAAGAAGAGACTGGACAGCCATTTGTCCGAAATGGTGTAGGGTTTCCTGCCTGAGCAGGGGGTTGGACTAGATGACCTCCAAGGTCCCTTCCAACTTTATTATTATTATTAGCAACCTGCCTCCAGAAGCGGTGAATGCTCCAATACTGGAAGTTTTTAAGAAGAGACCGGACAGCCCTTTGTCTGAAATGGTATAGGGTTTCCTGCCTGAGCAGGGGGGTGGACTAGATGATCTCCAAGGTCCTTTCCAGCTTTATTCTAAGTAAAAAGGCAAGGCTAAAGAAATAATTGTGTGAAAGGCTGGAGAGATATGATAAATTACAGCAGCAGAAGTTTTTTGGGGGTTGGGGTTGTTGTTGTTTTTTTTGCAAATTGGGTTTCATTTCTTAATGTGTACATTTCTTCCAGCACACTAGGGGATAAGTGAACTAGTTAAAAGAGAACTTCTGTTTTCTTCCCCCTAATGTTACAGCACTGATTGTAGACAGTGATTGTCAACAACTAATCCCAGAAAAACTTACCATAAAAGAAATTTAGTATCTAAGAAAGGAAAACAATCCAATCTAAACCGTTCACATATCTCTGAAAAGGAAATTTTTGCAAATGAGCAGCAACTGAACAACTGACAGCCAGGAAAATTCTTCGGTATACAGAATATTTTTCTTCTAAAGATATATGTGTGCACCAATGTTGGATTAACACAATATTTCTCAAACTTGGCAACTTTAAGACGGGTAGACTTCCACCCCCAGAATTCCCTAGCCAGCCTGCTTTAAGAGGGGTGGACTTCCACTCCCAGAATCCTCCAGCCAGCCTGCTTTAAGAAGAGTGGATTTCCACTCCCAGAATCCCCCAGCCAGCCTGCTTTAAGAGGGGTGGGCTTCCACTCCCAGAATCCCCCAGCCAGCCTGCTTTCAGACGGGTGGACTTACACTCCCAGAATTCTCCAATCAGCCTGCTTTAAGAGGGGTTGGCTTCAAATACCAGAATTCCTCAGCCAGCCTGATTTAAGAGGGGTGGACTTCCACTCCCAGAATCCCCCAGCCTGCTTTCTTGAAGACGGGGGGGGGGGACTTCCACTCCCAGAATTCCCCAGCCAGCCATGCTTTAAGGTGGGTGGGCATTGCTGAACAGGGAATTCTTGAGAATTGAAGTCCACATATGATAAAAGTTGCCAAGGTTGAGAAACAGCCGATTAACACAACCCGTATCTAAGTGGCCCGAATGCCTAGGTGTAAAATCAGCCTCACACTTTGCAACACCGTGCACCTGAATCACTTTTTGGGATCCGTCTTCTGAGGTGTCAGGAGAAGATTCTCGGATCCGTCAGAATTGTCCTTTGCGCCCCGGATTCCCCTCCCTGGCCCGGTTCCTACGGAAATCTACAGAGGCTCTCCCGCTCCTGCTGCTGAGCACTGTTCGTCCTTCGTTCTGGCAAGGCAAGTTTCACCAGGCTGCCTCTCACAGCACCTTCAGCAGAAAAGAACCTCCATGTCCAGGAGCAGTCTACCTCTGAGCTCCCACTTTTATTTTTTCCTCTCAGGGTGGGAGAGGACACTGTTGCTCCCTCGGGCAGCCCCCTCCCATGCCTCTGGAGACCCCTCCACAGCCCAGAGACCCCTCCACAGCCCTGAAACAGCCCAGTTGTTTTATGCCTTGCCACGACCCTCTCTCCAACCCCTGCACACACACCCCTCAAGGGTTGGGTGGGGTGGGGGCCTTTCTTCAGCCGCTCCACCCTCATCCTGCCTGAGCAGGGGGTTGGACTAGATGACCTCCAAGGTCCCTTCCAACATCATCATCATCATTATTATATCTTTTATTCATTAAACATGAACCTCAGTCTACTGAACATTCAAATTGGCTGGCGCTGATGGCTGACACGGGTTGCTACCAGCATCCTAGGTGTCAACCAGGTACCTCCTTAAAATATAAGATGTTCCGAGTAGCGCAGTTTTTTGTAACGTTGCTGGAGTTATTGCAGGAAGCTGCAGTTTCTTGATGTATTTTGCAAAGTCTTTGGACATAGTTCCCAGTGTCCCTATGACAATGGGTACCACTGTTACACGTTTCATCCATAATCGCGCAGTTTTGATGGCCAGATCGCGATATTTCGTAATTTTTTCCAGTTCTTTTTCTTTGACTCTGGCATCTCCTGGTTACAGCGATATCAATCAGCTGTACGCTTCGGTTCCCTACAACTGTGATATCCGGCGTATTGTGTTGCAAATGGCAATCTGTCTCTATTCGAAAGTCCCACAAGATCTTCACCCTCTCATTCTGAATTATTATTATTTATTTATTATTATTAATTATGTCCCCTGGTCTTTAAGAAGAGACTGGACAACTATTTGTCCGAAATGGTATAGGGTTTCCTGCCTGAGCAGGGGGTTGGACTAGATGACCACCAAGATCCCTTCCATCATCATCATCATCATTATTATGAGAAACTTCCTGAAAGTTAGAACAATTAACCAGTGGAACCACCTGCTTCCAGAAGCGGTGAATGCTCCAACACTGGAAGTCTTTAAAAAGAGACTGGACAGCCATTTGTCCGAAATGGTGTAGGGTTTCCTGCCTGAGCAGGGGGTTGGACTAGATGACCTCCAAGGTCCCTTCCAACGTTGTTGTTGTTGTTATTATTATTATTATCCCCGGCCTCTGGGCTCGGCCAGACGCTCTCGAGAGGCCCCGGGCCTGAGTTCCATCATCCTCAGCCCGCAGAGCGATGACATAACATAACCCATCTTCCTTCCGGGGTGGGGGTGTATGTGTGTGTGAATGGGAGGGGATGGGGGGGATGAAATATCATTCCCTGCTCCCTGGGGGGGGGGGGAGAGGATGGGCTGGACTGCACCCCCGCCCCCCCCCGCTAACGTGGTTTGCGGGTGATGGGAGTTGTAGTCCAGCCACCCTGCAGGCGGGGCGAACCCGGACGGTTGGCCTATCAGCTTCCAGCCCTCGGGAGGAGGGGGTGGGTCAAAGCGGGCGCCTTCCCGGACGCCCCTTCGGTGGAGGGTCGCCCCTTCCCCTGCCCTCCCCTCCCCGCCGCGCCCCCCACTCACCCTCCCAGTAGCTGCTGCTGGCCGCCGCCGCCATCTTTGTTGACCAACGTCAGCCCTCCTCGACGCAAGCCGGCTGCGCGCTCCGCCACAGAGCAGGCCGGCCAGAGCGCCCCCGCCTTCCGACCATAGAGCGCCCGCGCCGTGGAGTCCTCTAGGAGGAAGGATGCGAAAAAAAATAAAATAAAACCATCGAATGAGGAAGCGCGGCGCAGACCGCTCATCTAACCGCCGCACTGCCCCCTATCGGCTATAGACGGTAAGGTCCTCCGAGGTCGGTTTTTTTTTTTTTTTTTTTTTGCTAAATGATGAATAATCCTAAGAAACTCTGCGGGGCGCGTCTATTACACGTGTGCACGTGGGGAGATTCGCATGCGCGTGTTGAGCGCAAGGGAAAGGCACTGTGGTGGCCCCGGACGCCAGTTTAGCCCTCTTAGATGCTTTTGCTGCGTTCCTTGGGCTGATTGTTATTTAATAGCTGATGTAATGATAGAGATTCTTTTTCCCCGTTGTAAAATGAAAGGGGGGGGGCGGTTAGGATGCTGAGGCAGAGGGTCTTAACTGGGAAAAGGTATTAATTAATTCGTGTATTTATTATCTCACCGTCTTAATCTTTTCATACTATCGTTTTATTGTAAGCTGCTCAGAGTGGCAGGAGCGAGACGGACAGGAAATAAATTTAATAAACAAATGATTGTATAAGTAAGAGGGCTAGATATAAAATCAGATAAATAGAAAGATGATAGACTAGGTGGAGAGAGATAGATAGGTCGGTAGATAGATAGGTAGACAGGTAGACCAAACCATATCTATTATGTGGGTGTAATTATTTCTGTATATGAGATAGATAGATAGATGATAGATAGATAGATAATAGGTAGACGGACCAAACCATATAAACCAGCGGTTCTCAACCTGTGGGTCGGGACCCCATTTGCGGTCGATCGACCATTTCACGAGGGTCACCAAACAACGCAGTCTGCCATTTTTTTCCCCCCTTTTCCTTAGCTGTGCTACTCCCTTTTATTCTATTGACTTTTGAAAGCCAATAGAATAGACTCTCTTGAATAGAGTCTAATTCTATTGGCTTTCAAAAGCCCATAGGAATTGTCCAGACTGTCTCTGCCCTGCTGAACCCGCCAAAAGTCCCATTTTGCAAACGGTGCTGCACCAGTTGAGTAGTCCTCGACTTACGACCGGTTGAGTAGTCCTCGACTTACGACCGGTTGGGGGTCGTGGCATTAAAAAGGTTGAGAATCACTGATATAAATTATGTGGGTGTAATTGTTTCTGCATATGTGAGATAGATAGATAGATAGATAGATAGATAGATAGATAGATAGATAGATAGATAGATAGATAGATAGATAGACAGACCAAACCATATAAATCAGTGATTCTCAGCCTGTGGGTCGGGACCCATTTGGGGTCGATCGACCATTTCACGGGGGTCACCAAACAATGCAGTCTGCCATTTTTCCCCCCCTTTTCCTTAGCTGTGCTACTCCCTTTTATTCTATTGGCTTTTGAAAGCCAATAGAATAGACTCTCTTGAATAGAGTCTAATTCTATTGGCTTTCAAAAGCCAATAGGAATTGTCCAGGCTGTCTCTGCCCTGCTGAGCCCGCCAAAAAAGCCCCATTCTGCAAACGGTGCTGCACCAGTTGAGTAGTCCTCGACTTACGACTGGTTGGGGGTCGCGGCATTAAAAAGGTTGAGAACCACTGATGTAAATTATGTGGGTGTAATTGTTTCTGCATATGTGATGTATGTGTGAGGTAGGTAGGTAGGTAGACAGACAGACAGATCCAGTGGTGGGATTCAGTCGGTTCGGACCACTTCGCAGAACCGGTAGCTAATTTTTTTGTTGCCCGAGCCCAGAATGGACTTCCAGAACTCGCATCCACACAGAGAACCAGTTATTCACCTATTTGAATCCCACCACTGCATACATACATACATACAGATAAGAGATACAGCAATAGATACAGAGATAGAGATAGATGGATGGGTGGATGGATGGGTGGATGGATGGATGTAGGTAGCTAGGTGAGGTAGGTAGATGATAGGGTGGATATATAGCAGTGGTTGCGAACCTATGGCACGGGTGCCAGAGGCAGCACTCAGAGCCCTGTCTGTGGGCATGTGCACCGTCGCTGGGTTTTATAAAATCTTCGCTTTAGGCCTCTGCTGTGTACAAAAAAAAAGGTTCAATCAATTAGTCAATTTCAACTTCTCATGGGAAAAAAAAAGATCTTGCAAAGTTGGAATTGATTGATTGAACTTTTTAGTCCCACCCAGTCTGCTGTTACCACTGTAGCCACACCCACCCAATGGGCCACACCCACACAGCACCCGACGATGCATAAGTGGGTTTTGGGTTGCAGTTTGGGCACTCGGTCTCTAAAAGGTTCGCCATCACTGATATATAGAGATCTAACAGATGAACAGTTAGATGATGGATGGATAGATGGATGATGGATGGATGGACACTAATCAGCTGTCTAGAGTAGCAGGAGCGACATGGACTGCAAATAAATTGAATAAACAAATAATTACATAAATAAGATGGATGGATATAAAATAAGATAAATAAAAAGATGATAGGAGAGGTGGAGATAGATAGAGATATAAAACCAGATAAACAGATAGACGATGGGTGGGTGGCTTTTAACACTGTACATTGCCCAGAATCAATTCGTGGCGAGATGAGTAGCAAACAAAACAAATAAATGTAAATAAATCTTAGTGCAATGGCTGAAGTCACTCCTTCTCAAGCCCACTTCTTGCGATTAACGGCTTGCCTTCAACTCCCCTCTGGGACAAATATCCCAGGATACTTATAGAAGACTTCAGCAGTGTTGTTGCATGTTTGTACAAGACTCAACCACTGTGATTATCTCCCTTGGCAACCAGCATCAAGGGAATAGCTTGAGCCAAGATGTTGTGTTTTCCACCTTGGTCTAGGTAGGAAGAAGGTAATCTCGTAATTTACTTGATTAGTGCTGGCCAATTAATTTAAAGAGAGAACAATCGTGGTGGGGGAAAAGAACCGTACCTGGAAGATGGCAGTTTTGAACTTGGTTGCTTTCTTGTTAGCACTAGGTAACAGCATCAGTCCTAGAAATGGTGGTGTTGTTGTTGTTGTTGTTGTTGTTGGTGGTGGTGGTGGTGGTGGAGGAGGAGGAGGAGGAGGAGGAGGAGGAGGAGGAGGAGGAGGAGGAGAGAGAGACTGTGGGGTCCATGGTGCTGAGTTTGGTGGTTTTCTTGCAGACATTTCATGACCCAAGTAGGTAACATCATCAGAGCTAGAAGGGAGGAGGAGGAGGAGGAGGAGGAGGAGGAGGAGAACTGTGGGGTCCCTGGTGCTCTCTGAGATTGGTGGTTTTCCTGCAGACGTTTTATAACCCAACTAGGGAACATCATCAGTGCTAGAAGGGGGGGGAGGAGGAGGAGGAGGAAAAGGAAAGTTGTAGGGTCCTGGATGCTCTCTGAGCTTGGTGGTTTTCCTGCAGACGTTTCATAACCCAACTAGGTAACATTTGTCCGAAATGGTGTAGGGTTTCCTGCCCGAGCAGGGGGTTGGACTAGATGACCTCCAAGGTCCCTTCCAACTTTACTACTACTACTACTATTATTATTTATTATTATTATTATCAGTGCTAGAAGGGAGGAGAAGGAAGACTAAGGGGTGCTTGGTGCCCCGAGTTTGGTGGTTTTCTTGCAGACGTTTCATGACCCAACTAGGGAACATCATCAGGGCTAGAAGGGAGTGAGGTTTGTAGAGGAAGAGGTGTTGGTGAAGGACTGAGGGGTCCTTGGTGCTCTCTGAGCTTGGTTGTTTTCTTGCAGACATTTCATGACCCAGCCAGGTAACATCCTCAGGGCTAGACTGGAGTAGACTGGGTCTTTGGATCTTTTGCAGAGGGTTGAAGACACCTAGAATGTTGTGTTCAGATCTGAGCAAATTGAAGCATGCAATAAAGAGTTGGTGATGTTGGGTACGATTAGTCTGGAGATATAAAGACTACACGGACACCAGGTAGTATATTCATGCTTTTTCCCACCACTGTCTGTCATGGATGAGTGTTCCTCCTATGTTAGTTTTTGGCTTTTATTAACATCACTCCGCTTAATGAAGCATTGCCATTTTTTAATTGTCATGCTAGTATCTGTATATATATATATATATATATTTTCAGGATCTCACTTCCGACAGCCGTTGCTTGCAGCCAATGTTTAGTGCTACAGGTAGTCCTTGACTTAACAACAGGTGGCTTAGCAAAGATTCAAAGTTCTGTCGCGTCCTCACCCAAAGGTATTTACAACCCAGGTTCAAAGTTCTGACAGCCATTCCCCCCCCCCATATGACCAGATTTTAAGCGGTTGGCAATCAGTCTGCTTTTACAGCCATGTGATTTACATTTCTGCCCCAAACTGGCATTTACTTCTGGCTTTTGACCAAAAAATAAATAAATAAAAAGGCCCATAGTAAACAATGAGTTTGCTCAACGACTATCAACAATTCACTTGATTGTTGCAAAAAGTTGCAAAATCGGGTATGGTCACACGAATGACCCACTTGATAGCCCCATAAATGTAGGCTCAGTTACAGTCGTAAGTCGAGGACTATCTGTAGAAGGTATTAGTTGCCTTTACATGAGATGACTATAGCTAGTCCAGGGGTAGGCAACCTTGGCTCTTTGATGACTTGCGGACTTCAACTCCCAGAATTCCTAAGCCAGCATGGGGGAACTATGGTCCCCTTCATGACTCGTGGCCTTCAACTCCCAGAATTCCTGAGCCAGCATGGGGGAACTATGGCTACTTCATGACTTGTGGACTTCAATTCCCAGAATTCCTGAGCCAGCATGGGGGAACTATGGCTACTTCATGACTTATGGACTTCAACTCCCAGAATTCCTGAGCCAGCATGGGGGAACTATGGCCCCCTTCATGACTTATGGACTTCAACTCCCAGAATTCCTGAGCCAGCATGGGGGGAACTATGGCTACTTCATGACTGGTGGACTTCAACTCCCAGAATTCCTGAGCCAGCATGGGGGGAACTATGTCCTCCTTTATGACTGGTGGACTTCAACTCCCAGAATTCCTGAGCCAGCATGGGGGAACTATGGCTACTTCATGACTGGTGGACTTCAATTCCCAGAATTCCTGAGCCAGCATGGGGGAACTATGGCCCCCTTCATGACTTATGGACTTCAACTCCCAGAATTCCTGAGCCAGCATGGGGGAACTATGGCCCCTTTTATAACTTCTGGTTCAACTCCCAGAATTCCTGAGCCAGCATGGGGGGAACTATGTCCTCCTTTATGACTGGTGAACTTCAACTCCCAGAATTCCTGAGCCAGCCATGCTGAGGGGAAAGGGAGAGGTTTCCAAGCTGAGCCATGCCGGCTCAGGAATTCTGAGAGTTGAAGTCCACGAGTCATAAAAAAGCCAAGGTTGCGTACCCCCTACCCCCGAGCTAGTCCTTGACTTATAACCATTCGTTTAGTAACCTAAACGGCACTGAACAAAGTTGACTTAGGACCATTTTCACACTTACAACTATTGCAGCCTCCCCGTGGTCACATGATCAAAACTCACACACTTGGCAACCAACTCGTATTTATGACGGTTACAGTGTCCCAGGGTCATATGTATCCCCTTTTGTGACCTTCTGACCGGCAAAGTCAATGGGTCAAACCAGATTCGCTTAATGACCGTGTGACACTTAACCATGGCAGCGATTCACTTAACGTCTGCATCAAGAAAGGTGGCAAAAGTTGGAGCAAAACCCACTTAGCAACTGCCTCGCATAGCAATAGAACTTTGGGGGCTTGACTGTGTCCATAAAGCGAGGACTACGGTTATGTACAGACATTCCAGACTGTGCCTCTAATGGCAGAGAAAAATGTGGACGTGTCTCTCTCTGGAGACACTTTCAGACAAATTTGCCACAAAGGTAGAAAAACCAGGAAGAAATTATATACATAATTTATATACATAATTTCCCTGAGTGCAGAGAAGAGCAACAAAGAGGATCAGGGGACTTGAGGCTAAAACATACTAAGGACGTTGCTGGAATTGGGGATGTCTAGTTTAATGAAGAGAAGGACGAGGGGGGACATGAGAGCCATGTTCCGGTATCTCAGGGGCTGCCCCAAAGAAGAGGGAGTCAAGCTATTCTCCAAAGCCCCTGAAGGCAGGACAAGAAGCAATGGATGGAAACTCATCAAGGAGAGAAGCAACCTAGAACTAAGGAGAAACTTCCTGATAGTGAGAACAATTAACCAGTGGAACAGCCTGCCTCCAGAAGCGGTGAATGCTCCAACACTGGAAGTTTTCAAGAAGAGACTGGACAGCCATTTGTCCAAAATGGTATAGGGCAGTGATGGCAAACCTTTTAGAGACAGAGTACCCAAACTGCAACGCAAAACCCACTTATGCATCGTCGAGTGCTGGGTGGGTGTGGCCCATTGGGTGGGTGTGGCCCATTGGGTGGGCGTGGCTGTGGTGATAACGGCAGACTGGGTGGGACTAAAAAGTTCAATCCATCAATTCCAACTTTGCAAGACCTTTTTTTTCCCCGCGTGAAGTTGAAATTGACTGATTGAATGAACCATTGTTGGGTTTTTTTTTTTGCACATGGCGGTGGAGGCCTAAAGTGAAAAGGTTTTATAAAACCCTGCTGAAGGCCTAGGACTGGGGCGACAGTGCCCATGCCAACAGAGAGGGCTCTGAGTGCCGCCTCTGGCACCTGTGCTGTAGGTTTGCCACCACTGCTATAAGGTCTCCTGCTTGAGCAGGAGGTTGGACTAGAAGACCTCCAAGGTCCCTTCCAACTTTATTATTATTATTATCATTATTACATCCCAAGGCAGCGGTTCTCAACCTATGGGTCGCGACCCCATTTGGGGTCGAACGACCATTTTACGGGGGTCGCCAAACAACACGATCCGCCATTTTTTCCCTTCAGGGGGTGCCGTGCATGGGGGCGCGTCCGTGTGACGGGGGTCGCTGTCACACAAAGGTTGAGAACCGCTGTCCTAAGGGATGTCGCCGAGGAAGCAAATAAAGCACAGGAGAGAGAGAAACCAGAAAAAGACCTTTATACAGATTAGAGCTTAGCATACATTTAAATCAATTTTCACACTTGCAGAAGTCTTTTTGTTTGACGCACAGACCTTCAAGTTGTCGGCAACAGTAACTGGTTTGCATTCTTAAGTTCAAGCCCTTCGTTTCAACATCTACTTCTGAAGGCACAGTACACGGACCCCTCCCTCCCTCCCCCCCCCAAATCAAAGTGGCAAACACACACAGGTAGCTGCAATGTATTCTCCTACGCCACAGAGGCTAAGGTTGCCTCTCGGTGTTACACAAAAAAGAGCAGCCACCCTGTTTTATTTAGGGGGGAAAAAATGCGTAATTACCACCCAGAAAGATGCAGCCGGCTGTGAACCGCTGACAGGGCCGGCTTCGGTCTAGATTTGAACAAGATGCAAGGATACCGTGGCCGGTGCTCAACACACCAATTATTGCTGGCAAATTTCGTCCAGAGATTCTGAACTGCCTTTTTTTTTTTTTTTAAAAAAATAATAATAATTTTGAACCGGGTTATGAAGAGGATAAAGACCATTGCAATATAGATTAAAGCAGGGATCTTCCAACTTGGCCCCTTTGATGACTTCCAGACTTCCAACTCCCAGAATTCCTCAGCCAGGCACGCGTGCCTGGCTGAGGAATTCTGGGAGTTGGAAGTCCGCAAGTCATCAAAGGGGCCAAGTTAGAAGAACCCCTGGATTAAAGAACCCTATCCCAAACCCCAAAATAGCAAGTTAGGGATTTGGGGCCAGTTACTATCCAGCTTCATTTCAAAGGTAGGTAACTGGACGAGAAGCAGCACAGCTGAATTAAAGCAGAACGTAACCAGGATAATGTCGCTTGAACCTGCTGACAATCTACTGGCCTGGATGTACCAGGATAATTAATAATGCTAATAAACTGAGGCACTTGGTTGAGTACTGCATAATTTCCAACAGATGGGAAGGACTAAAACAAACTGACCAGCTGAAATTATTTGGATGAGTTTGGAGAGAAGCCCCACAATGTGTCCTACTTCGCAGGATGTTCAACAAGCTAGCCTAAAGCTTTAGCATCTTGATCCCTAAAATGTATTATCCGTCAAAATGAATCTCCTGGGAACGACGAGCAAAATCCAACAGTTATTATAAACGCCCCAGCTTTAAAGTGGGCTTGACATTTCAAAAGGGAATTAAAACTCTTTTTGAGAAATCCTTATTAGGACAACCAAGCGTCTGGATAAGCCATCGAAACAAGTTTTAAGAGATTGAGAAAGGATGTTGAGGAGTCTGAGGTTAAAACTTTGGGGTAGTAACAAGAATCTAGATTCCATCTAGATTCCCTTTCCAGTTCTTTGGAGTTTCAGATAATGTTTTCAACTATATCCTCATCCCACATGCGATCCTGTCAAGGAATGGTGGGATTTAACTCCCCAATGCCTAAATAGGAAAATGATCTTGTTTAAAGATGGGTCTTCTAGTCGAAGAACTAGTACTTAATCCGCTGTACAACAGCTTCTCGCTTTTCTCAAACATTGAAGCCCCTCTTTTTAACATTTCACACCCAAGTGCTACAAGAATCAAAGGCTAAACGTATGCACCATATAACGTGAGGAACAAGTAACCAGTGTGTGCTACCTTTCTTCCAGAATAGACCCACTTAAGATAGTCGGGGCCTAGTTCAAAAAAAAGAATCTGAGAACCGCATACTGTAATTCCACAGAAAATTCAGTCTTGGCAGAAGAGCAGAGACTGCAGTTAGAGACTTAATGTTGAAAAAGGAAAAACAAAAACAAGGCATTTTCCTGAAAAAAAGTGGCTGGATGCTTTCAAAGCAAGATTTTTTTTTTTTTCTGATGGAAAGTACTTTCTTAGACGGCAGCTCCTGTCAAACAAAGCGGCACTCCGCGGAGGCTTCCGCAGACTCCAAAAAAAAATAAATTACAGAACAATATTTGGCACCAAGCTGTCATTTCAAAACCCAATTAGTGTTCGGCTTATCCGGAGTTATAGAAATGCACCTGCCGCTATTCTATATTCCCAAAGGAAACCAGCAGAAAATTGTGGTTTGAAAAAAAACAAAACCCCCACAACTTGCAACCTCAACGGGAGAGGAAGAATATCCCCATATCTCAACACATAATCTGAAAACAGCATCTGCCCAGGAGACCTAACCTGAAGGAATTTTACTCCCCATAATCAAGAGGGGAAGGTTTGTCGCTTTTCACGCAGAGTTCGAAACCAACTCTGAAAAGGATTCCGGGCGGGAAGGAAGGAAGGAAGGAAGGAAAAAAAGAAAGTTCCAACTGTCTATAGGCTGCAGTGGATCAGCAGCTTAGACTAAGCCTTGGTAGGCAGTGTGTTATTGTTTCCCCCCCCAAGTGGCATTTAGAATGGTTTAAAGCAAAACTTTTCAAAGTACTAGAAAGCCGACAGCTCCGTGGCGGCTTCAGTTATCAGCGTGTCTGTTTTACCCAAAGGGGTCCACTTCTGATCCCGAATAGAAAAAAAAGCAGCCCAGCAGTCCAGGACGGCCTCCTTGTGCGTAAGCAGACATGGGCCTGAACCGAGAACTGAGGTTTGGAAGGTGACGCATTCCGGGTCCGCCGGCTGGGAACGATGCTCCGTGTAGTGAAACCTTGTCTCCGCAGGGGAACTTCCCTGCCAGGGGATAAGATCAGTGTTTGTTGGAGTAAACTGTTTCCTCCTCCGTGTCCGTTTCGTCCTGGAATTCGTGGCTCAGGAGCGACTTCTTGGAGCCGGTGGACATCATGCGGATCTCGTCCTCGTAGTCGTCGTGGTGCTGCCGTAGGCGGTGGAAGCCATCTTTGTGGCGGTTGGACTTGATGGAGCACACGCACCAGATGATGCAGGCGGTGAGGATCATGGCCGACATGGTGGCACCTGAGCGAAGGGCGAGGGGAAAATAAAAAGGAAGAGGCCATGGTTAGCTGCAGGCTACGTGCCTAAGGTTAAATATTCTTGCCTGTAATTATAATAATAATAATGATAGTAGTAAAGTTGGAAAGGACCTTGGAGGTCATCTAGTCCAACCCCCTGCTCAGGCAGGAAACCCTACACCATTTCAGACAAATGGCTGTCCAGTCTCTTCTTAAAAACTTCCAGTGTTGGAGCATTCACTGCTTCTGGAGGCAGGTTGTTCCACTGGTTAACTGTTTCACTGTCAGGAAATTCTTCCTTAGTTCTAGGTTGCTTCTCTCCTTGATGAGTTTCCATCCGTTGCTTCTTGTCCTGCCTTCAGGCACTTTGGAGAACAGCTTGACTCCCTCTTCTTTGGGGCAGCCCCTGAGATATTGGAACACTACTATCATGTCCCCCCTTGTCCTTCTCTTCGTTAAACTAGACATACCCAATTCTAGCAACCGTTTCTTATATTTATAATTATCTGAGTAGACATCAAGAAAGATACTCAGTTCTGGAGAGGACAGTAGAACATAGAGTAAAACATAGACTAATAGAGTTGGGAGGGAACTTGGAGGTCTTCTAGTCCAACCCCCTGCTCAAGCAGGAAACCTTGTATCATTTCAGTCAAATGGCTGTCCGGTCTTTTCCTAAAAGCCTCCAGACATGGAGCACCCACAACTTCTGGAGGCAAGGAGATCCACTAATTAATTGTCCTCACTGTCAGGAAGTTTCTCCTTAGTTCTAGGTTGCTTCTCTCCTTGATTACTTTCCACCCGTTGCTTCTTGTCCTGCCTTCAGGCGCTCTGGGGAACAGCTTGACTCCCTCTTCTTTGGGTCAGCCCCTGAGATACTGGAAGGTTGCTATCATGTCCCCCCTGGTCCTTCTCTTCGTTAAACTAGACAGACCCAATTCCAGCAACTGTTCTTCATATGTTTTAGCCTCCAGTCCTCTAATCATCTTTGTTGCTCTTCTCTGCATTCTTTCCAGAGTCTCAACATCTTTTTTACACCGTGGTCACCAATAGTTATAGTTTAACATTGTTTTGAACCTGAGGGAGGTTCAAAAATGAGAATAAATAAATAAAAAGGAATGCTGGATTAATGGAAACTAACCAAGGAGAAAAGCAACCTAGAACTAAGAAGAAATTTCCTGGCAGTTAGAACAATCAGTGGAACAACCTGCCTCCAGAAGCGGTGAATGCTCCAACACTGGAAGTTCTTAAGAAGAGACTGGACAGACATTGGTCTGAAATGGTATAGGGTTTCCTCCCTGAGCAGGGGGTTGGACCAGATGACCTCCAAAGTCCCTTCCAACTCTGTCCACTCCAATCCATTCCACTCCATTCTATATCCTATATTCTATTGCATTCTACAGGGAGCAAGCCAACGGAGAATGATTAAACGGCCAGAATGGTGAAATGCGGCGTTATTTGCCTCCATTCAGACAGAAACGATCTTTCTCCCTCCAAAAACCCAGAAAAACAGTACTAGGTTCTACCTGCTACTGTAACCACCAACTCTCTTGGAAAACCAAAGACTTTGTTGTCTATGTCAAACTGTATACGCAGGAAGCTGGCCATGTCATGACGAACCAAGACCTGAAAAAGATAAAGCGCACGTTTCAACAATCATGTGGATGCACTCAGGGCGTTCAAGGCATCACACCGCACATAAGCAAATCAGCCTGCCATGAAGTAACCTTCTCATTGGAGCAGAAAGAGTCAGCCCTGACCTCCACTTGTTGTGTTTAAAAGAGGGGTGTCAAGGCTGCTAACATCGGATGTTTTTGCTTTGACAAAGAGTTAGATGATGCTGGGGGGGGGGAGGATTGCGCATGAGAGTTCAGCTAGACATAACAACACTAGACCTAGCGTGAGAATCAAGGTTATTGTAACCAGAGCTGATAAGGAATTGGTGGCTGGAGAGCTGGAGGGAGAGCCTGCATTTCAAACTAATTGGGGAATGTGATTTATCACTGTTAATTGGAGAAGGGAATTGTGCTTTGATACTATGTGCTCAGGGGAGGGGAATTCAGCTTTTGGCTTCCATTGTGTTAGTGCCGATGTTATGCTTCTCCAATAAAGATTCTTTAAGGTAAACAACGCCTCGAAGTTTTTTTGAAGAGTTTCATCTGTCAGAACCATGACAAGGGGTCCCCAACCACCGGGCCACGGATCAGTACCAGTCTACGGCCTGTTAAGGAATCAGGCTGCACAATCTTACTGTAAACTGTGCATGTGAAGGATCTCACATGCACAGTTTACAGTAGGGTCGTATGCTCCACTTCCCCCTGGCATCCCCTGGTCCTTGAGAAAATGGTCTTCCCTGAAAATCGGTCCCTGTTGCCAAGAAAGGTTGGGGGCTGCTGGTTTGAAAGACGGATTAAAAGGAAGGTAGAAAAGGACTCAAATTAAACAGAAATGCAGGTTCGAGATATTTAATTATTTTTACAACGTACCCAATGCTCCCTCCTCCTCCAATTTTCCCTACAACAATCTGGTAAGGTAGTGTGGGCTGGGACAGAGACTGGCTTTTGTGCCTAAGGCGGAACTAGAACTCAGACTCCTGGTGATTGGTCCAAGGTCTGCCTATCAGCTGGCTTTCACCATGTTCTGCTTTCCACTAGATCAGGGGGTAGGCAACCTTGGCCCTTTTATGACTGGTGGACTTCAACTCCCAGAATTCCTGGGCCAGCCTGGCTCAGCTTAGAAACCTCTCCCTTTCCCCTCAGCTTGGCTGGCTCAGGAATTCTGGGAGTTGAAGTCCACGAGTCATAAAAGGGCCAAGTTTGAAGATCCCTGCTTGTGGACTTCAACTCCCAGAATTCATCAGCCAGCATGAGGAAACTATGGCCCCCTTCACGACTCGTGGACTTCAACTCCCAGAATTCCTGAACCATCAGGGGGGAATTGTGGCCCCTTCATGACTCGTGGACTTCAACTCCCAGAATTCCTGAGCCAGCATGGGGGAACTATGGCCCCTTCATGATTGGTGGACTTCAACTCCCAGAATTCCTGAGCCAGCATGGGGGAACTATGGCCCCTTCATGACTTGTGGACTTCAACTCCCAGAATTCCTGAGCCAGCAGGGGGGAACTATGGCCCCTTCATGATTGGTGGACTTCAACTCCCAGAATTCCTGAGCCAGCATGGCTCAGCTTGAAAACCTCTCGCTTTCCCCTCAGCATGGCTGGCTCAGGAATTCTGGGAGTTGAAGTCCACGAGTCATAAAAGAGCCAAGGTGGCCTACCCCTGCCTAAGGGTAGAACTTGAACTCATGATCTCCTGCTTTCTAGCCTGGTGCCACCTATCTAACGTGGTAACATTAAAGGTGAAGGCGTCAAACCTGCCATACCTTAAGCCTCTAAGTAAAAACTATCCTGGGCTCCATTTGTTGAGAAAGGTATAATTTTACTGGGGGTCAAGTGTAACGCAGTAATGAAAAGACAGAACTGAGATTCATGTGTCAAAATCACTAAGTTCTACTTTTCACCGCTGCATCTGCCTCTCACTTCCCACCAATCAAGTTCCTGCAAGGGGTTTCTGTAAGAGCCAGTCTTAGCCCAGGTTGGTATGCGGCTCCCTCCTTCTCCCAGCTGGGTGACCTTGAGGCAGCCTCTTGAGGAAGCTTTTACTTCTGATTTCCCCCAAGCCACACTTTTCCTTCATCCCCCTTTCCAACAGGCCATGGCAGACTGTCACCGCATGGTTGCAAGGCCCAGGTGAGCATAAGGTGGCAGCTGACAGAAAGCAACTATACTTCCTTTGTCAATAGTTCAGATCCAGATTTCCCATATCTATCTATCTATCTATCTATCTATCTATCTATCTATCTATCTATCTATCTATCTATCTATCTATCTATTATCTATCTACCTACCTACCTACCTACCTACGTCTGTCTGTCTGACATATACAGAAACAATTACACCCACATAATAAGATATGGTTCTCTATCTATCTATCTATCTATCTATCTATCTATCTATCTATCTATCTATCTATCTATCATCACACCTATCATACACATAACACAAACAATTACACCCACATAATAGATATTCTATCTATCTATCTATCTATCTATCTATCTATCTATCTATCTATCTATCTATCTATCTATCTATCTATCTATCTATCTATCTATCATACATATACATAAACAATTACACCCACATAATAGATATGGTTTTCTATCTATCTATCTATCTATCTATCTATCTATCTATCTATCTATCTATCTATCTATCTATCTATCTATCTATCTATCTATCATACATACATATACAGAAACAATTATACCCACATAATAGATATGGTTTTCTGTCTGTCTGTCTGTGTGTCTGTGTGTGTCTATCTATCTATCTATCTATCTATCTATCTATCTATCTATCTACCTACCTACCTACCTACCTACCTACCTACCTACCTACCTACGTCTGTCTGTCTGTCTGACATATACAGAAACAATTACACCCACATAATAAGATATGGTTCTCTCTCTCTCTCATAAACAATTACACCCACATAATAGATATGGTCTATCTATCTATCTATCTATCTATCTATCTATCTATCTATCTATCATCACACCACACATATACAGAAACAATTACACCCACATAATAAGATATGGTTCTCTCTCTCTCTCTCTCTCTCTCTCTCTCTCTCTCTCTCTCTCACATAAACAATTACACCCACATAATAGATATGGTTTTCTTTCTATCTATCTATCTATCTATCTATCTATCTATCTATCTATCTATCTATCTATCTATCTACCTACCTAGAAACAATTATACCCACATAACAGATGTCTTTCTTTCTTTCTTTCTTTCTTTCTTTCTTTCTTTCTTTCTTTTTCTTTCTTTCTCTTTCTTTCTTTCTTTCTTTCTTTCTTTCTTTCTTTCTTTCTTTCCGTCTGTTTATCTATCTATCTCACATATACAGAAACAATTACAGCCACATAATAGATATGGTTTGGTCTATCTGTCTACCTACTATCTACCTACCTATCTGGATTTCCAGTTAAGCCACCTAATTCCACATTGCATTTATTCCAAATTGGAGCCTCGCTAAAACAGAAAGGCTTTCCCCATACCTGGACGTGCTGCTGCTGATAGCCTTCCGCTATGGCGTGGATCTTATGATAGCCCGGAGCGAGAAGCACGTGGAAATAGCCACCTTCCTTGGTGCACACTTTTATCCCTTCGTTGAACACAATTTGGGCCTTGGATACCGGTCGGCCGTGTTTGTCTCTGACAAAGCCATAGACTCCTTTATGAACCTGGAAGAAAGGGATGGGGCAGGAAACACAATTACTTGTGTTTTCTATGAAGGAAAACGCATCCTGTGTAATCATTGTACACACATGCACATTTTCTTGTGTATAATGCAGGTAGTCCTCGACTTACAACAACTAAGCCCAGAATTTTGGCCGTTAAGTCACTGCGGCTGTAAAATCCAATCGCCACCTGAGTAGATTCCATTTTACGACCGTTTCTCATAATGTTCCTTAAGCGAGTCGTCGGTCATTAAGTGAATCACGTGACTGTAAGACCAAATCCAACTTATCCCAGTGGCCCATTTGGAACCGGTTCGCGCAAGCAGTGAACGCGCACACGAAGCTCCACTTGAGTGATCAGTGGGCATTTGCACTGGCACAAATGCAGCTGTGTATGCTCATGCACACCTGCCACTCACACTCAACCATTCCCCTTCACCCCTCTCCCGTGCTGGGCCACCAAGCCAGAAAGGTTGGGAACCGCTGCTCTTGCCAGCATAAAGGCCCTATCCCAAGTAGCATGAAAAATAAAGCCGTTTCCCCACCAAGTGATGGGAAATGACATAATAATACTAATAATACTAATAAAGTTGGAAGGGACCTTGGAGGTCATCTAGTCCAACCCCCTGCTTAGACAGGAAACCCTACACCATTTCAGACAAACGGCTGTCCAGTCTCTTCTTAAAAACTTCCAGTGTTGGAGAAGTTTCTCCTTAGTTCCAGGTTGCTTTTCTCCTTGATTAGTTTCCATCCGTTGCTTCTTGTCCTGCCTTCAGGTGCTTTGGAGACTAGCTTGACTCCCTCTTCTTCGGGGCAGCCCCTGAGATACTGGAAGGCTGCTATCCTGTCCCCCCTCGTCCTTCTCTTCATTAAACTAGAGACATACCCAATTCCAGCCACCGTTCCTTATATGTTTTAGTGATCTTTAATGCGAGAGATAATTCTTTTGTCCCAGCTTATCAACGTGTCCCCACCGTGCTTATATTTCCTATTCTCTGTGTTTAAGAGGTCCATGAGATCCGATTCTTAAAACGCATCTCATCTCCGTTGCTTTTGGAGCAGTTGCAAACAAAAGTTAGAACGCAATTGACATCCTTCGACGGTGCATCAAAACTCACCTCCACCAGCATGCTGAGAAGAGATTTCTTATTCTCTGTCCAGAGAGTGTGGAGTTGTCCTGCGCTTGGAAAGTAACAGCAACCGGTATAGACTGTGATCTCTGGGCAATGCCCATAGGTGACACTGAAATCCTGGAGAAAGAAGAAGAGGAGGGTATGGGTCAAAAGAAAAAGAGCCCCATTTTTTTTTTGCAAACATTGAGTTGTATTAACACTGAGTTAATACAATTCTTACTGTTTAATAAATAACAATTAAGTATGTAATTGTTTTGGGGAAAGAGGAAATCAACTAAAATTAATATATGGAGTACAGATTATACAAATCAATGGTTAATGAGTGTTTTTACAAATGTAACCCAGACAACACACAGTTTACCAATAATTATTGAGTGACTTATGCATTATTTAAAAAAATCAATAAAATATATTATAAAAAAAAAAAAGAAAAAGAGCCCCAAACAGAAAAGAGTTATAGGCAGTCCTCGACTTCCGTCCGCAATTGAGAGCAAAATTTCCACTGCTAAGCAAGTTGTGCCCCATTTTACGACCTTTCTTGCCACAGGTGTTATGTCATGCTTCCAACAGATGAAACTCTTCAAAGATTACCTTAAAGAAACTTTATTCGAGTAGCAACACATCGGCATGCACATAGTCCAGGTCAAAATCTGGTTTCCCTTCCCCTAAGCACATAGTTGTTGTTGTTAATTGCGAAGTCGTGTCCGACCCATCGCGACCCCATGGACAACATTCCTCCAGATCTTCCTGTCCTCTACCATCTTCTGGAGTCCATTTAAGTTCACACCTACTGCTTCAGTGACTCCATCCAGCCATCTCATTCTCTATCGTCCCCTTCTTCTATTGCCCTCAATCTTTCCCAGCATTAGGCCCTTCTCCAGTGAGTCCTTCCTTCTCATTAGGTGGCCAAAGTATTTGAGTTTCAACTTCAGGCTCTGGCCTTCTAAAGAGCAGTCGGGGTTGATCTCTTCTAGGACTGACCGGTTTGAACGCCTTGCAGTCCAAGGGACTCGCAGGAGTCTTCTCCAGCACATAGTTCAAAGGCCTCAATTCTTTGGCGCTCAGCCTTTCTTATGGTCCAACTTTCACAGCCATACATTGCAACTGGGAAAACCATGGCCTGGACTATACGCATTTTTGTTGGCAGGGTGATGTCTCTGCTTTTTAGTATGCTGTCTAGATTTGCCATAGCTTTCCTCCCCAGGAGCAAGCGTCTTTTAATTTCTTGGCTGCAGAAGCACATAGTACCAAAGCACAATTCCCTCCTCTAACTAACCGTCATAAATCACGTTCTCCAATTAGTTTGAAATGCAGGCTTTCCCTCCAGTTCTCCAGCCTGCCAATTCTTATCATCTCTTATTACAAACAGCCTTGGCTCCCACCAGTGTACAGTATTGTTATGTCTAACTAAACTCCCAAGCACATTCCTACTCTTGCCCCCAGTATCATCTAATTCTAAGAGTAAAACATAAAGTAAGGGAAAATGGCTGCATCCCCATATGTTGTCAAAGCAAGAACATTCGGTGTTAGCAGCGTTGACATGTTAAGTGAATCACTGCAGTTGTTAATAACACAGTTCTTAAGCGACTTCCCCAGGGACTTTGCTTGTCAGAGGTTTGCAAAAGCCGTAATGCAGTGTTTCTCAACCTTGACAATTATAAGGCATGTGGACTTCAACTCCCAGAATTCCACAGCCAGCATTGCTGGCTGTGGAATTCTGGGAGTTGAAGTCCACATGCCTTAAAATTGTCAAGGTTGAGAAACACTGCCGTAAAGAAATGCCGGTTGCCAAAAGTCCAGATTTTGATCATGTGGCCATGGGGATGCTACAATGGTCGTGTGAAAAATGGCCAGGTCACTTTTCCCAGTGTCGTCGTAATTTAAAAACGGCCACTGAACGAATCGCAATAACTTGAGGACTGCCAGTATCGGTAAACTTGATTAATCACACCTACTACACAATAAACACCAAAATAACTACGTCTGAAATACCTTCATGCTACCTAGATGGCTGTGCCACTGTGCTCCAAGCAACACACCTCCCGGGATATTCTCATCTGTAAATAAATAAATATTTAAATTGTATTTATTTATCAAACTTCCATTATCACTCATCACACTAGTGTGATTCTGCAATCCAGAATCGGCCCATAGCAAACAACTCCAAATGCTTTAGGATATTACAGGCACCTACCTGATTTGTTTGGACAGTTAGGTTGTCCTAAGTGCATTGTAGGATGGTTGTTTGCGTAGACAGAAGCCAAATGTTTCAGAGTTTCCTTATTTTCCACTATTAAAAAACAAAAACAAAAACAGGAGGACAATCAACAAAAGTATATGGCTCAATTTCAAATTTCATTTCAGAATGTTACGGGGGGGGGGGGGGGGGTTGGTATAGAATTGGCTCAAGGACCAAAGCAGAACAAAGAGCCGGTCTGAAAGGATGTTTTGCAAAGAGAGAGAGAGAGAGAGAAGGAGAGAGAGAAAGAGATAAATAAATAAATGGAGGGAGGGAAGGAAGGAAGGAAGGAAGGAAGGAAAGAAGGAAGGTAGGAAGGAAGGAAGGAAGGAAAGAAAGAAAGAAAAGAAAGAGCAAGCAAACAAGCAAGCAAGCTGTATTTTAAATTTGGAAATAAAAACAAATTCATATGAGAGAGAGAGAGAGATTGTATTTTAATCTTGGGAATAAATAAAAATTCATATCAGAGAAAGAAAGAAAGAAAGAAAGAAAGAAAGAAAGAAAGAAAGAAAGAAAGAAAGAAAGAAAGAAAGAAAGAAAGAAAGAAAGACGGACAGGGCAACAGAAAAAGAAAGAGATGGAGAGAAAAGAAAGAAAGAAAGAAAGAAAGAAAGAAAGAAAGAAAGAAAGAAAGATGTATTTTAAATTTGGAAATAAATACAAATTCATATCAGAAAGAAAGAGAGAGAGAGAGAAAGATTGTATTTTAATCTTGGAAATAAATAAAAATTCCCATCAGAGAAAGAAAGAAAGAAAGAAAAAAGAAAGAGAAAGAGAGAAAGAAAAAGAAAAGGAAAGAGAGAGAGAGAGAGAGAGAGAGAGAGAGAGAGAGAAAGAAAGAAAGAAAGAAAAAGAAAGAAAGAAAAAGAAAGAAAAGAAAGAGAAAGTGAGCTCACCGGTCTGCACTGGTTTGTCATATGGGTAAGTAACAAGGAGGGACCCGCCGTCTAAGGCAACGGAGAGGCTGAAGTCTTGCTTCTGGATCAGGTTCTCCATAATGGCTTTTGTTTCGGGCTCCCTTGCCACAGAAGAATTACCTAATGGAATAATTAAGTAATTCTCACAGTAAAAGAGGCATTCAACTTTGGTGTAAAGACCCTACGGTTGCAGAAGCATGCCGATGGTCTAATCGCTATTCCAATCTGTGGGGTCCTTGGTGCTCTCTGAGCTTGGCTGTTTGCTTGCAGGTATTTTGTTATTCCAGTCTTCTTGGATGGAAGGGAGGGAGGGGAGCTTTGTAGAAGGGAGGAAAAGGGGGAGGAGGCCGGGGAAGAACCGTGGGGTCCTTGGTGCTCTCTGAGTTTTGGCTGTTTTCTTGTAGATGTCTCATTACCCATTAGCCAACTTGGTAACATCATCGGGGCTAGGAGGGTGTGAGTTTTGCTCTCTATTTATATAAAGTAGCTTAACTTGCCAGTCTTGGGGTTTGGGTAGTAGTCCCTTGAGTAGGCTGTTGTTTAATACCTGATTGTTTCTCAGGTGTGAACCCCTGCTTTTCTGGGTGTTAATTGCAGGGGACTGCTGAAGGCAATACTCTAAACCAGAGGTAGGCAACCTTGGCTCTTTTATGACTCGTGGACTTCAACTCCCAGAATTCCTGAGCCAGCATGAGGAAAACTTTGGCCCCCTTCATGACTTGTGGACTTCAACTCCCAGAATTCCTGAGCCAGCATGGGGGAACTATGGCCCCCTTCATGACTTGTGGACTTCAACTCCCAGAATTCCTGAGCCAGCAATGGGGGAACTATGGCCCCTTCATGATTCGTGGACTTCAACTCCCAGAATTCCTGAGCCAGCATGGGGGAACTATGGCCCCTTCATGACTCGTGGACTTCAACTCCCAGAATTCCTGAGCCAACATGGGGGAACTATGGTCCCTTCATGACTTGTGGACTTCAACTCCCAGAATTCCTCAGCCAGCATGGGGGAACTATAACCCCTTCATGACTCGTGGACTTCAACTCCCAGAATTCCTGAGCCAGCATGACTCAGTATGGAAACCTCTCCATTTTCCCTCAGCATGGCTGGCTCAGGAATTCTGGGAGTTGAAGTCCACAAGTCATAAAAGAGCCAAGGTTGCCTTTAGGTTGCCTCTAAACCAGTGGTTCTCAACCTGTGGGTCGGGACCCCATTTGGGGTTGAATGACCATTTCACCGGGGTCGCCAAACCACGCTGTCCGCCATTTTTTTCCCTTTTCCCTAGCTGTCCTACTCCTTCTTATTGGTGGCCACACCCAGTTGGGGGTCACCAGAACATGGGGAACTGTATTATGGGGTCACAGCATTAGAAAGGTTGAGAACCACTGCTCTAAACAATACTCAACCAATACTCTAAACAAGGAACTATCATCTCAGACGTATAACCAAGCAGTAAACAACAGCCCAATCAAGGATCTACCAAGGAGAAAACAACAACCCCACAAATGCTGACAGGACAAGCTAAGATACATAATCAGAGAGCCCACCTCACTCCTTCCTATCACTCAAGATGTTCCCTAGCTAGATAAGTGAAATGTCTGCAAGAAAACAAACAGGCTCAGAAAGCATTAAGTTCAATCCTGACCTACATATATTCTCTTCTGTTGGTCTTATTTCAATCTGCATGACAACCCACTTGCTACGCAACTCTGGGTGACAAACAGGGTTAAAATAAATCCAAATTCTTAAGAACACACTGTGTGAGGGACAACCTTCCCTCCCTCAAAACATTAAAAAAACTATACAAATTGAACAAACAAAACCACTGGTAAGATATCCAGCCACACCGGAGTAAAATCGGAATCACACGTAAGAACAAGTGACCTGTGGTTAATCTCTACATGTTAAAACAATCAAATAACCCAGGGGGAATCAGAGGAATGGAACTTTCTGGTCTTCCCTGGTGCACACAAAGTGCAGCCTAGAAAGGTAAATATTAACCTGCTCTTACTTGTGAAATCGGTGTCCAGATCTTTGCCGTTGGCATTGGTCTGTCCCAGTTTGGAGGTACAATCGCCTTCCTGGGCGTTCTCGCGCCCGTCTGGATTTAGGGACGGCACAATCACGATTCTTGTCTTCTCAATCAGCTGGGGGGAAAAAACAAACATCCAACAAAAAAATAAACCATTTCATGTAATAATAATAACAACAACGTTGGAAAGGACCTTGGAGGTCATTTAGTCCAACCCCCTGCTCAGGCAGGAAACCCTACACCATTTCGGACAAATGGCTGTCCAGTCTCTTCTTAAAAACTTCCAGTGTTGGAGCATTTACTGCTTCTGGAGGCAGGCTGTTCCACCACTGATTAATTGTTCTCACTGTCAGGAAGTTTCTCCTTGATGAGTTTCCACCCGTTGCTTCTTGTCCTGCTTTCAAGTGCCTTGGAAAATAGCTTGACTCCCTCTTCTTTGGGGCAACCCCTGAGATACTGGAAGACTGCTATCCTGCCCCCACTCGTCCTTCTCTTCGTTAAACTAGACCACAGGTCGGCAACCTGCGGCTCCGGAGCCGCATGCGGCTCTTTGAGCCTCCCCCTGTGGCTCCCAGCCTCCTCTGCCTTTGCAGAGAGAGACAGAGACAGAGAGAGGCAATTGCGCTTCCCTGCTTCCTTCTCTCTCTCTCTCTCTCCCTCTGTGTGTGTGTGTGTGTGTGTGTTTGTGTGTGTTTGTGTGTGTTTGTGTGTGTATGTGTAAAAGAGTGCACTCACAGTATTCTCCGAGCAGCTGAAAAGCTTACTGGGTGGAGCTCCTCCCTTTGCTGCGTCTCTGCAGGAAGCAGGAAGGGCAGGAGAGAGCTAGCTAGCCCAGCTAGGCTGACTCAGGAATTCTGGGAGTTGAAGTCCATGAGTCATAAAAGAGAGAGGTTGCTTGTTGGACAACAGCTTGAAGCTTGCCAGGTGAGCAGGAGATAGGAGGGGGGGGGGAGAAAGAGAGAGAGAGAAAGAAAGAAAGAGAGCGGGGGAGGGGGGGAGGGAAGAGGAGTGGCAGACCAAGGGCAGATAGAGAGGGAGGGAGAGAGAGAGACAGAGAGAGAGAGAGAGACCCTTTTGACATCTAAAATGAAGATAACACTGCATATATCCTTTTTTTACCTGTATGTGTGTGTGTGTGTGTGTGTGAGTATATACACATACATACATACATATACATATATATATATATATACACACACACACACACATACACACACACACACCAACACACACACACCTATAATAAAGGTAAAAAAGGATATATGCGGTGTTATCTTCATTTTAGATATCAAAAGGGTTTTGCGGCTCCCAGTGTTTTGTTTTTGGTGGGAAACGGGTCCAAGTAGCTCTTTAAGTGTTTTGGGTTGCCTACCCCTGAACTAGACATTCCCAATTCCAGCAACCGTTCCTTATGTGTTTTAGAGATCTTTAGTGCGAGAGATAATTCCTTTGTCCCAGCTTATCAACGTGCCCCTCTCCCCACCGTGCTTATATTTCCTATTCTCTGTGTTCATGTTTTAGCCTCCAATCCCCTGATCATCTTTGTTGCTCTTCTCTGTACTCTTTATAGAGTCTCAACATCTTTTTGACATCGTGGCGACCAAAACTGGATGCAGTATTCCAAGTGTGGCCTTACCAAGGCCTTGTAAAGTGGTATTAATACTCCACGTGGTCTTGATTCTATCCCTCTGTTAATGCAGCCTAGCACTGTGTTGGTCTTTTTGGCAGCTGCAGCACATTGCTGGCTTCTATTTAAGGGATGGTCCACTAGGACTGAGGTCCCTCTCACAGTTGCTACTATTGAGCAAGGTACCCCCTATACCAGGGGTAGGATGACTTGTGGACTTCAACTCCCAGAATTCCTGAGCCAGCATGGCTCAACTTGGAAACCTCTCCCTTTCCCCTCAGCTGGTTCAGGAATTCTGGGAGTTGAAGTCCACGAGTCATAAAAGAGCCAAGGTTGCCTACCCCTGCCCTATACTATACCTGTACATTTGGTTTTTCTTGCCTAAAGGCCACAGTTAAAGGCCACAGGTCATAAAGGGGCCATAATTGCCCACCTTAAGATGCTTGCAGGTGACCCACCTTTGTGATAGCCGTGTTTTTTTTGTAGTTCATGCAGAGGAACTCTGCCAGTGCCAGGAGCAGCTCGGTACCGACAGGGGCATTGCCATGGATGCCGGCAACAAAACGGATCTTTGGTTCTTCTGGCTCAGACTGATTGGGTTTGTTAGAGATTTCCAGGGACCAGATGTGACGAATCTCCCGACTTTGGCCCAAGCTGCCAAAATAAAAGAGAGAGTAGAAGTCTACTGGCTGCTTTTTAAAAATAGAGGTGGCGATTTTGGGCTGCCTTTTGATTCTGCAGAAACGAAAAGCCAACATTTCCCGTCATATTGAGACATTTATTGCAAGATGCTGGCACAGCAAGGAAAACTACCTCCCTCTAAAGCAGTGATTCTCAACCTTTCTAATGCCGTGACCCCATAATACAGTTCCCCATGTTGTGGTGACCCCCAAGTGGGTGTGGCCATCAATAAGAGGGAGTAGGACAGCTAGGGAAAAGGGAAAAAAAGGGCGGACAGCATGGTTTGGCGACCCCCATGAAATGGTTGTTCGACCCCAAATAGGGTCCCGACCCACAGGTTGAGAACCACTGCTCTAAAGAACCTCAAGATTGCTCCATGGGGAAAAAAGTGAGAAAATCGAACAAATGGAGGTAGTTTCCAGCTCCTTTTTTTGGTGAGAAGCTCAAGATAACAGACATTTTATTTATATATATTTAAGGTATAAGCTTTTCATAGGCTTACTGCCTTTTTAAAAACAACAACAACAAGTTTTATTAATTTTCCAATTTTACAAAGCTCCAAGTTTTAAGGAAGCAACATGGTGGTTGGGTAATCCATAGTCCAATAACAAGCTCTTTCATACATATGTCAGGTTACATCATCAAAAATTTCCTCTCTGTTTCCCTTGGTTATTATATCACATTCAAATTAACACATTGCTACTTATAACTCAAACAGTTGAAACATTTATCAATATCTTTTGACTTATACGCCTCCATATCCTGTTTTTAACTTTTATCTAATTTTAGTTGCAGTATTCAGGTTGGCTTAATGTCCATAGTATTTAGGTTTCGGATAGCCCACGGTTCCCTTAGTTCAGACATGTCAAACACAAGGCCCCGGGGCCGGATGCGGCTCGCAAAGTGGTTTCATGTGGCCCACGAAACCATCCTGGAAACAGTGAGGGAACGGCCCCTGCTGCCTTGGCCCTGGCCCAGGCCGGCCGGGAGCCAATGTACAATTTTGTGGTGGCCATCTTAGCTCCACAAGGCCGTCTGGAAACAGCGAGGAACCAGCCCCTGCCGTGTCGGCCTCGTCCCCTGGGTGCATGCTGGGGAGGTATCACCTTTTGTGAGGAATGAAGAAATGCACCATGCCTTGGCGCTTGCCCCGGTCCCACCCCCTTCTGCCAGAGACCCTCAGATCTGTCCCACTCCTGCCCAGGCCCCCACAGGCACCCTTGACGCGAACAATGTAGAGCTGGCCATGCCCACCCAGTAGACCACACCCACTCCACCCATGCCCACCCAGTAGGCCGCACCCACCCTGGCCACACACACCCGCCCCCCCAAGGGCAACCGCAATGCTGATGCGGCCCTCAATGAAATTGAGTTTGACACCCCTGCCTTAGTTCATTACAAAATAGTTATATCTAAAATACACTTATTTATTCAGATAAATTCTTACTTTATTTCACAATCATATTCTACTTCCCATCCTAATATCATCACTTACTAATAAAGTAACCTTTATCATCTGAATCCATCTTCTATATTATAGTTCAAAACTATTATTCTAGTAACTCATTTTTATTTCCCTTATAGGTCTAAATCCTAAATATTATTATTATTTTATTTTTTACCAACAAAACAAAACAAAGCAAAACATAACACACAGTATATACTCCTCTCCCCCTTTTTTTAAACAGCGATTACGTAATGGTAATCTTCTATTATTTACATTTCCCCCCTTATTCTTCTTTAGAATATTTGTCCTTATTGCCCCATTGTTTCTTATTTATATTTTTCTTCCTTCATATTCTACTTCTTACTAAGAATAATTCATATTATTATTATTATTATACATTATTATACACACATTTTCACTTTTGACCTCTCCATATTTATTCTCCTCTATTATTTCTAGTCTCCAACCAGTCATACCACTTGTTCCATGTTATATCGTACTCTGTGTCTTCCTTTTCTTTTATCTCTTTTGTTAATTTATCCATCTCAGCACAGTCCAGGTAAATCCTAAATATTAAATCAATTAATGTCTTTTAAAATCTCCTTAGCCCATTAAGTGAAATTTTAGGCTCTTCCATTAAGGGTCGCATTAAAAAAAAAAAAAGCCATTTTTAAGTCTAATTCAGGCTTCCATAGCAGAGCCTTTCAATCCTCGGGGTGGATCTCCCTTCATTCCTGCAAATGTCATTTGAATCAAGGGAGACCATCCAGTTATCAACTTTTCAAGGAAGCTAGTCCCTTCATAGTCATTAGATTGTTGGCCTAACAATTTGAGTCTCCATATTTGGCTTAGTCTCAACATTAAGAAAACTAAAATCATGGCATCCGGCCTTCTCAATTCCTGGCAAATAGATGGGGAAGAAATGGAGGTAGTGACAGATTTTATTTTTCTGGGCTCCAAGATCACCTCAGATGGGGACTGCAGCCAAGAAATTAAAAGACGCTTGCTCCTGGGGAGGAAAGCTATGGCAAATTCTAGACAGCACTCTAAAAAGCAGAGACATCACCCTGCCAACAAAAGTGCGTATAGTCCAGGCCATGGTTTTACCAGTTGCAATGGATGGCTGTGAAAGTTGGACCACAAGAAAGGCTGAGCGCCAAAGAATTGAGGCCTTTGAACTCTGGTGCTGGAGAAGACTCCTGCGAGTCCCTTGGACTGCAAGGCGATCAAACCGGTCAGTCCTAGAAGAGATCAACCCAACTGCTCTTTAGAAGGCCAGATCCTGAAGTTGAAACACAAATACTTTGGCCACCTAATGAGAAGGAAGGACTCACTGGAGAAGGGCCTAATGCTGGGAAAGATGGAGGGCAAGAGAAGAAGGGGACGACAGAGAATGAGATGGCTGGATGGAGTCCCTGAAGCAGGAGGTGTGAACTTAAATGGACTCCAGAAGATGGTAGAGGACAGGAAGACCTGGAGGAACGTTGTCCATGGGGTCGTGATGGGTCGGACACGACTTCGCAATTAACAACAACAACAACAATAATTTGGCTTAGTATATTTGTCGTGAGTTCAGGCTGGTCTTCTTCTGATTTCAGCTGGTTTAAATAAAAAGTCATGTTCAGTGTTGTAGTTGTTGTTTGGTCGTCTGGGTTATCTAAATCCTCAGGCTTATTGCCTTTTTAAGTCATCCCACCCTATCCCAGGAAACATTCCCATAGCTTCCCGTGATGCCAATCACCTTACTAAGATTCACAGCGACTGAATATAATAAGTATTTGGCTACTTAGCAGGAGAACAGAATATTTTTTGCTGACTTTATAAATCTCACGAGGAGTGATTCAGCTTTTTCCTGACGCAGAATGCAAACTTTCAGGAACGTTCAGCTGTCGTTTTTAAGTAGGAAGCCTATCCCCAGGGATTGCCCAAACAAGGGACATAAAGTGAAACACACAGTCAATGTCTCCGATACCAAAGCAATCATTTCAGCGCTGACCCCCTTCTCCGTTATTAGCAAAGGAAGAAGGCTGTTGAGAAATAGAGGGATTGAAAAGCTCAATCTAACTGCAGAAAACAGCATTTAGCAGTGATCACCTTAGATCAGGTGCAGAGTGTTTTTTAGAACGGTGGGCACAAGAGCTTCGGACCGCATTGGTGCAATCAGGTCATTCTCTTTCGAACTTTCTTTCTAAAGAGCAAGCATGAAACAGCCCAACCAAAGGATCTCTAAGGCCACCCCCACCAACACATATAAGGAACGGTTGCTAGAATTGGGTATGTCTAGTTTAACGAAGAGAAGGACGAGGGGGGACAGGATAGCAGTATTCCAATATCTCAGGGGCTGCCCCAAAGAAGAGGGAGTCAAGCTATTTTCCAAGGTGCCGGAAGGCAGGACAAGAAGCAACGGGTGGAAACTCACCAAGGAGAGAAGCAACCTGGAACTAAGGAGAAACTGCCTGACAGTGAGAACAATTAACCAGTGGAACCACCTGCCTCCAGAAGCGGTGAATGCTCCAACACTGGAAGTTTTTAAGAAGAGACTGGACAGCCATTTGTCCGAAATGGTGTAGGGTTTCCTGCCTGAGCAGGGGGTTAGACTAGATAACCTCCAAGGTCCCTTCCAACTTTACTACTATTATTATATTATTATACTATCATTATTACTGCCAGGGCAAGCCAGGAGAATAGAAACTGACAGCAAACGGCTCTCCTTACTAGCACTGATGGCATTACCTAGCTGGGTAATGAAATGTCTGGAAGAAAACCACCAAGCTCAGAGAGCATCAAGGACCCCACAGTCCTCCTTCTGCTCCTCCTCTTCCTTCCCCCCATCCCTCCTAGCAGTGATAACGTTCCTTAGTCGGGTCATGAAACGTCTGCAAGAAAACCACCCAGCTCAGAGATCACCAAGGACCCCACAGTCCTCCTCCCTCAATCCCACTCCTGTCTAGCACTGATGGTGTTACCTAGCTGGGTAATGAAATGTCTCCCACTCCTGTCTTCCTCCCTCAATCCCACTCCTGTCTATCACTGATGGTGTTACCTAGCTGGGTAATGAAATGTCTGGAAGAAAACCACCAAGCTCAGAGAGCATCAAGAACCCCACAGTCCTCCTTCTGCTCCTCCTCCTTCCCCCCATCCCTCCTAGCAGTGATGACGTTCCCTAGTCGGGTCATGAAACGTCTGCAACACCCAGCTCAGAGAGGACCAAGGACCCCACATTCCTCCTCCTCCTCCCTCAATCCCACTGCCGTCTAGCACTGATAACGATACCTAGCTGGGTCATGAAATGTCTGCAAGAAAACCACCAAGCTCAGAGAGCATCAAGAACCCCACAGTCCCCCCCCTCCTCCTCCTCCCTCAATCCCACTCCCGTCTAGCACTGATAACATTACCTAGCTGGGTCATGAAACGTCTGCAAGAAAACCAGCAAGCTCAGAGAGCGCCAAGGACCCCTCCCTTTCTTTCAAGAACCCATCTTGTGACCCAACGATGGAACACAGCGGTGGTTTCCCAGAACGTAAATGCCTCGTGCCGTCACATACCTAACGAGATTGGTGATTTCTGGATAATTCAAATTCAAGCCTCTGAGGAACATGGACAGATCTTTGTAGGGGCGATAACGGGAAGGCTGAACATCAGCGGAAGGAGCCAAGAGGAGATGGTCCAAGCCGTTCTCTGCCGAGAGGTCTTTGATCAGGGTTTCAAACTCCTTGGTGACTGACCCGTTGGAGTCCGCCATGTTCACATGGGGTGCTGATCCTTCTTCCACTCGGGGGCCTTTTCGACTCAGAGTAAAGTTGACTTGCACTGCATTGCTCTCTTCGACTTTTACTGTCTTGGTCTCTGAATTATACCTTGCAGAAAAAAAAAACAAAAAAAACAGGAGGAAATAAGAATATGAAGGAAAGAAAGAAAGTTCATTCTGTCTGAGGTAATACTGTTCCTCTGAAGCAAGCTTTTACCAGACCTAATGATTTGCAGCCACAGTTGAGCCCATAACATTTGTTGCTGGGCGAGATAGCGGTTAAGTGAATTTTGCCCCCTTTTACGACCTTACTTGGCCACAGTTGTGGAATGGAATTGTCAGGATAACGATTTAAAGGCTAACCAGCATGCAAACTGGATGATGCAATGCTAGGAATGACACAGCAGGGTCTGCGTCTCTTTAAGAGCCTGAGTATAAAAGGGAAGGCTTTTTGCTGCTGTGTTCTCTCTCGCCCGTTTCCTGCTGTAATTGCTGTGTGTTGGGAGTTTGTAGCATTGCCATGTGTATGTATTTTGTTCCTAGTGTATATTAGAGACTGAAATATAAACCACCATTTCATACAGACCACTGTCTCATGGTGACTGGCTCAAAGTTGTCCAGCTGGCTTTCACAGCTTTCAGGTGAAAGCAACGGATATTAGAAATACAAAGCCGCGTGGCTTACCCGCGGGCAGATGCCGTGATCTTGTACGTTCCTGGAGTCAGCAGACGCCAATAATCTCCGGCTTTATAGGTGGAGACTAGGTGGTCGATGCTGGCCACGCTGATGGTCGCGTTCAAGATGCCTCGCCCATCGGTGGCATCCAAAACAAACCCTCTGACCCCTTGGTGAACCTAAGTGAAGAGAGATGGATGAATTGTGCATCTGGCAAAAAAAGATTTTATTAGTCTTTGATGTGTCTTCCCAAACCGATGAGGGAACAAGGGCCAGGGGAAAAGTGCAGAGAAGAGCAACTAAGATGATTAAAAGCCTGGAGACTGAAATATACGGAGAACGGTTGCAGGAACTGGGTCTAAAGCAAAGAAGGATTAGGGGGAGACATAATAGCAGTATTCCAGTATTTGAGGGGCTACCCCAGAGAAAAGGTGGTCTCCTATTCTGCAATGCACCTGAAGGCAGAATAAGAAACAGTGGATGGAAACTAATCAAGGACAGAAGCAAGCTGGAATTAAGGAGAAAGTTCCTGACAGTGAGAACAATCAAGCAGTGGAACAGCTTGCCACCAGAAGTTTTGGGTGCTCCATCACTAGAGGTCTTTAAGAGATTGGACAGTCACTTGTCTGAAATGATATAGGGTTTCCTGCTTGAGCAGGGGGTTGGACTAGAAGACCGCCAAGGTCCCCTCCCCACTCTATTATTCCTCTCTACTATTCCAAGGGAGGGAGGGAGGGAGGAATGAAAGAAATTAATCAAGGAAAAAAGCAACCTGGAATTAAGGAGAAACTTCCTAAAGTAAGGACAATTAATCAGTGAACAACCTGCCTCCAGAAGTTGTGAATGCTTCAACACTGGAGGTTTTTAAGAAGAGATTGGACAACTATTTGTCTGAAATAGTATAGGGCAGACATGTCAAACACAAGGTCCAGGGGCCGGATGCGGCCTGCGAAGTGGTTTCATGTGGCCCGTGAAGCCACCCTGGAAACAGTGAGGGAACGGCCCCCGCTGCCTTGGCCCTGGCCTAGGCCGGCCGGGAGCCAATTTTGTGGTGGCCATCTATGCTGAAACGCGTTCAGTCTTAGCTCCACAAGGCCGTCTAGAAACAGCGAGGAACCAGCCCCTGCTGCGTTGGCCCAGCCCCGTGGGTGCATGCTGGGGAGTGTCACCCTTTGTGAGGAATGAAGAAATGGACCATGCCTTGGCGCTTGCCCTGGTCCCACCCCCTTCTGCCAGAGCCCCTCAGATCTGTCCCACTCCTGCCCAGGCCCCCACAGGCACCCTTGACGCCAACGATGTAGAGCTGGCCATGCCCACCCAGTAGGCCACATCCACCCTGGCCACACACACACCCCGAGGGCAACTGCAATGCTGATGTGGCCTTCAATGAAATTGAGTTTGACACCCCTGGGATAGGGTTTCCTGCCTGAGCAGGAGGTTGGACTAAAAGACCTCCAAGATCCCTTCCAACTCTGTTATTCTGATTGTTATTTTCTCGTTGTGCAGTATGCGGCGGCATAGGTGAGCGTTTCTTAATCCTGCGGGGCTGCAGATCATCTTACCTGCTTGATAAACTGCAGCAGCGACCGGCGGTTCTTCTCCCAGTATTTAGGCAATTCTTCTGCCCTGGGATATTTGACACAGCCCAACTCGATAGTCACCTCAAAGCAATTGGTGTTCAGGTAATTCCAATCTTGCATGCCACCTGGAACGAGCACGATCAGAAGGGACGTTAACCGCGTCTGCTTAGTGACAAAAGGTCTTTGCATCACGAGGATAAAATTAATCCCACAGAGGTGAAATTCCAACCACAATATTTTGAGGACAAGGGGGGGCATGATAGCAGTGTTCCAATATCTATGGGGCTGCCCCAAAGAAGAGGGAATCAAGCTATTTTCCAAAGCACCCGAAGGCAGGACAAGAAGCAACGGGTGGAAACTAATCAAGGAGAGAAGCAACCTAGAACTAAGGAGAAACTTCCTGACAGTGATAACAATTAACCAGTGGAACAACTTGCCTCCAGAAGTGGTGAATGTTCAAACACTGGAAGTTTTTGAAGAAGAGACTGGATAACCATTTGTCTGAAATGGTATAGGGTTTCCTGCCTGAGCAGGGGGTTGGACTTGATGACCTCCAAGGTCCCTTCCAACTTCATTATTATTATTATTATTATTATTATTATTATTATTATTATTATTATTATTATTATACAGGAAGTCCTCGACTTACAATCACAATTGAGAAAGTTTCTCAAAGACAGCTGTTAAATAAGTTCTGTCCCATTTTATGACTTTTCTTGCCAGTTTCTGTGGTTAAGGGAGACATTTGTTAAGTGAATTTTGCCCCATGTGACGACCTTTCTCGTTTCAGTCGTTAAATGAATCACTGCAGTTGTTAAATTAGCAACATGGCTGTGAAGTGAATCTGGCTTCTCCATTGACTTTGCTTGTCAGAAGGTCACAAAAGGGGATCACGTGACACCCCGGGGACACTGCAACTGTCATAAATACGAGTCAGTTGCCAAGCGTCTGAATTTTGACCACGCGACCATGGGGATGCTGCAACGGTCTCGTAATTCTGAAAAAAAGGTCAGAGGTCACCTTTTTCCAGTGCCGTTGTTATCTTTGAATGGTCACTAAAATAAATGGTTGAAAAGTCGAGGACTGCCTATAAAGCAAGATGCCATTTTGGGAAAAGAAGTTTGAAAGCAGAATCATTTTCAACTCTACATATTGCTTAAAAAAAAAATAGCAGTGCTTCTTTTGTGTCAACAGAAACGAATAAAAAAGATCCTGTGAAGTAAGAGCAAACTTTAAATCAGTGGTTCTCCACCTGTGGGTCGGGACCCCATTTGGGGTCAAACGACCATTTCACGGGAGTCGCCAAACCACGCTGTCCGCCATTTTTTTCCCTTTTCCCTACCTGTCCTACTCCCTCTTATTGGTGGCCACACCCACTTGGGGGGTCACCACAACATGGGGAACTGTATTATGGGGTCACGGCATTAGAAAGTTTGAGAACCACTGCTTTAAATAGAAGGACGAAAAAAAAAAAAAAAGAAAATGCCAGAGTACAGAACTGTTTTCCTGAACACCCGTGCTTAGCAGTAGGAGGCAGTATTTATTTTTTTTTAAAAAAAATGGAACTCAGGGGAATGCGGTTGGAACATTACGCGACTTCCTCATTAAACACTGACTTGTAATTGGTACATCGTGTAAACCAGGATTTCGTTCCCGTATAGCAAACAACATTTGTGGTGGGCAAAACCGTTCAAATAAAGTGTTCCAAATTCAAAACTCTCAATCCCAGTCAAAACTGTTTTGATGTTAAAATAAGGCTTTTTTTTTTAAAAAAAAAATGTTTTTCATAGCCCTAGAAAACATCGTGGCTGGCTTACAAGGAAAAGTTCTCATCTCGAGAAACCCAGAACAACCTGAAGGGGGATTTAGGATCTTATTTTCACACAAAAGGCCCACAGGTGTTGTCACCCCCCCCCCCACACACACAAACACCTCCAGCATTTAATGCTTTACCTGGAACGTTATACCAATTCGCCCCGTTAGTGATGCCACGAGGAAAATATTCATCAGGATATATGTTGTCGCATGGGTGGCCCTGGAACATTTGCACGTTCTCCTGAAAGAGCAGAATATGAATTGGGGTTCAGGCCATTGGTTCCTACGTTACGCTTGAAATCACAGAGGAGCTTATCGTGAAAAGAGTTTTTGTTTAATCCATGCCTGATATAACAGATCACAGGAAGGTGAAGTTCCTCGTGATCTCATGTGACTTTATAAAGCTAAACAGGTTGAACCTGTTTAGCGCTTGGAAGGGAGACGACCAGGAAATCCTAGGTCTTTTTTCAGCTAGTTGTTAAAACATGCCAGATGAAAACGGTCAGGCACTCATGGAAAACAACATGGGACATGACGTCACCAGCAGTTCACCTTGACCGCAAAGAGACATGGCTTTATACATTCTTAAATTCAGATTGGAAAAACCCAAGTTTACACTACTATGGATTTTTTTTTTTTTGTATCCCTTTTCAACTTCCACTCTAAGCAGGGTACAAATAAGTAGTGTGAACTACATTTTTATTCCTGGGGATGGTACTGGAAAATCAAAATATGAAAAAAAAATCACTACCTATTTATCCTAACGTTAATCCAATGTACCAGTCTCTTGCAATTTTAACTAAATAACACTGTGAGACAGGTTAGCCAGGGGTAGGCAACCTTGGCTCTTTTACGAGTGGACTTCAACTCCCAGAATTCCTGAGTCAGCCATGCTGAGGGGAAAGGGAGAGGTTTCCATGCTGAGCCACGCTGGCTCAGGAATTCAGGGAGTTGAAGTCCACGAGTCATGAAAGGGGCCATAGTTTCCCCATGCTGGCTCAGGAATTCTGGGAGTTGAAGTCTACGAATCGTAAAAGAGCCAAGGCTGCCTACCCCTGGGTTAGGCTACGTGAGGACCATCCAGCAACTTTCATAACTGTCACAGAGTCCCTATTTAAAATTAAATTAAAATCCCTCTACTTCCCTAAAATCCAAGTAACCTGCTGATGCAAATGTAACGGAAGAAAACCTAGTAGGAACTACAATCAAGATAACAGGGACCTGCATTTTTTTATTTTTTATTTGCAGAAATAAGCAAAAGTAAAAATAATGTCACCCACAACTATTGAAAGTGCTGACTTGAGTTTATTCGGGTCACATTGTTCTACTATTTCTCTCCAGATACTTTGAGCAGGTCCTCTTGTTACACTCTTATATGTGTAATTAACAATTCTGGGGGTTTTTTTGGGGAACTTTTGTGCCTTCCAAACATTTTGCATTAGGGTCCCCTGGAAGATTTACATTTCCCTTTACAGTACACTATCATTTCTGGATTTATAAAATAATTAAAGCCGCCGGTTTCAGAAAGACATTACGTCATAAACCAGAGGAGTAAAATTTATTCCACAAGGCCACATGCAGGTTCACAAAATGTTATTGGCACAATCCTCTCAGGAATTGCCAGAAAATTCTAATTTTTTGAAGTGACAGGAGAAACTGTCTTTAACTGATCCAGTGTAATTTGAATTGATTTAATTTAAATCTATTTAAGGCGCTAGCCATACCTATTTCTTTGCTCTTTTTTTGGGGGGGGGGGGCATATGGCCTCCACAAAAGTCAAACTGAAAAGAAGTTATTCACTGCTATGAATCTTGGCTAAGTTGACATATCATGTCACACAAGCATATTCCATTATGTTTTAGTGCAGGAGTCCTTAAATTTTGTGATACTGTGAACTCCGTAAAAAGATTTAATGAATTTGTGTGAAACTCTCCATCCCACACTGAATAAAATGAACGATTTCTCTGCAATTAAGGTTGGGTAAAAATAAACATATCATTTACAAAAGATACACTTTTCATCACGTTCTCGAGTCTATTAATATTATTTTACATATTGCAATAATTAGCAAGGGCTCCTAGTAATTCTTTATGGGCTGCCATAAAGAAGAGGGAATTAAGCTATTTTCCAAAGCGCCAGAAGGCAGGACAAGAAGCAACGGGTGGAAACTGATCAAGGAGAGAAGCAACCTAGAACTAAGGAGAAACTTCCTGACAGTGAGAACAATTAACCAGTAGAACAACCTAACCTGCCTCCGGAAGCGGTGAATGCTCCATCACTGGAAGTTTTTAAGAAGAGACTGGACAGCCATTTGTCAGAAATGGTGTAGGGTTTCCTGCCTGAGCAGGGGGTTGGACTAGATGACCTCCAAGGTCCCTTCCAACTTTACTACTATTACATATTACATGTAAACAAAAAGCAGCAAAGGGCATATAAATAAACAATATTACTATAATCCCCACCATAGTAAATATCATATACGCCCAATTTATATCGCTAAAATGGGTCACTTTTGCTATTCTGTTATCCAACAGAATCTTTCCCAGAGTCACCTTGGGGTGAGAAGGGCGGCAAATAAATTTAATAATAAAATAATAATCTCAAACGAGTAGAAATTTAAAACAAAGACATCTTCCAGAAGGCCTTTCTAACAACTTACAACTAACAATAGTCCAATGGTAATGCCACTGGACTATTGTGCCATTACGTACTGTTAAATTTTAGTTAAATTGTCTTTTAATTCTTGTATGTACCTTACTGTGGATGCTTTATACATACCATGAGCTATATAATTGCTCTTCGTCTGCGCAAGCCTGACAGTTTAAAAAAAATGTAACTTCTCTTAAGTTCCTTGTAACACCTCCCCCCCCCCAGGAATCACAATCCACAATATATAAGCGTGTATGATATGTAAGCTAGTGGATCTCCAGGATCCACCTTCCAATAATTGTTACCTTAGCATAGGTAAGAGCTAGCTGCTGAAAAACAGCATCATCAGGGGATTTACTATATGTGGCAATTCCTAGCTGATCGTCATCAAAGGGGTAGTTAACCACCAGAGATCCTGCAAAGGGGAAAAAAAAAATAGCTTTCAGGATTTTATCACTCTGAGTAAATTAATCGTAACGTAAAAGGCTGTTGTTTCACCTTCACAGTCAAGAATACTACTATTTGCTTAGATTTCGCAACTAGCCACAAAACTAATCCAGGTAAATAAAGATAACAATGAGTATAATCCACCAAAGGGAATGGAACAAGGTGCAGCAAGGGAGCACCTGCATGCTACTTGTTCTTAAATATCAAGAGCCAGGACAGAGGAAATGTACTCATTAAGCCCCCCTCCAACAAAAGCGGAAACTTGAGCCGAGGTGGTGCAGCAGTTAGAGTGCAGTACTGCAGGGCACTTTAGCTGACTGTGTTCAGCAGGTCAGTGGTTCAAATCTTAGCGGCTCAAGGTTGACTCAGCCTTCCATCCTTCCGGGGTAGGTAAAATGAGGACCCAGATTGTTGGGGGCAATGTAAATATATATATACATTGCTTACTGGTGTACACCGCTTAGAGAGTGCTTGCACTTAAAGCGGTATATAAGTCTCACTCATTCATAAACAAACAAACAAACAAACAAACAAACAAACTAGACCTTTCAGAAGAGCAACACAACAACACCAAGGTTGTGCATACTTTAAAAAATGATTCTGAAGTTCTTTAGACCTCATGCAAGCACAACACCTATGGGGGCTACTTATTAAAACAGGCATGTCTTTTTTTTTTTTTTCAAGCTTCCAGAAATCTGGGGGAAAAAAGACAAAACTGTTTTAATAAATTTAAGACAATTTAATTTGATTACATTTTTAAGCCGCTCAAAGTCACTTTGGACAGCGAGGGGTGGTGGTGGTATATAAATTTAAGAATAAATTGGACAGACAAATCAAGCAAGTAATTCACACGGCATTCTTTTCAATGCAACTCTAATCATTTTCAAAGTAACCCTAATAAGAACACATGTGCTGAATACAAACACTTTTTTTTAAAATTTACAGGCTCTCTTTTGGATAATCTTGGCCAGAAATCCTAACCTGTAAACTATTATCAGATAAAAGTATATAATGAAAATCCTTTCCATGCATTGGTAGGTTTTCCTGTAATGGGGCTTAGGGCTCAACTGCGTGCAGAATAAAAGTGCTGTACATTTCCAGACTAGCTGGTCTGCATTCCTCTTACCTCCATGCAAATTGGCAGATAGCACAAAGGGGTAGGTCTTCAGCCAGTTCATAACAGCTATGGTCTCTGGCTGCAGGGGATCGGCAATTTGGACAAACTGATCTGGAAAGTTCCGATTCAAATCATAGTTGTTGCTGTTGTTTCTTCCAAAAATCCCCGATACGTCTCCTGCGAAATAGAACAGAGCCTGGTTGAACCATCTGTGCTTTTCAGCCATTATCAATATTTATCCTTTCTGCACACAGAATTTGCCCTCCAAGAGGGCAAAGCAAGAGACATTCCCCCCCCCCCTGTAATTCTCCTTTACCAAGTCTTAAAAGAGTGTATCAAGATCACGTGAAGTGTTAATACCACTTTACAAGGCCTTAGTAAGGCCACACTTGGAATACGGCATCCAGTTTTGGTCACCACGATGTAAAAAAGAGGTTGAGACTCTAGAAAGAGTGCAGAGAAGAACAACAAAGATGATTAGGGGACTGGAGGCTAAAACATATAAGGAAAGGCTGCTGGAATTGGGGATGTCTAGTTTAATGAAGAGAAGGACAAGGGGGGACATGATAGCAGGGTTCCAATATCTCAGGGGCTGCCCCAAAGAAGAGGGAGTCAAGCTATTCTCCAAAGCCCCTGAAGGCAGGACAAGAAGCAACAGATGGAAACTAACCAAAGAGAGAAGCAACCTAGAACTAAGGAGAAACTTCCTGACAGTTAGAACAATTAATCAGTGGAACAACCTGTCTCCAGAAGCAGTGAATGCTCCAACACTGGAAGTTTTTAAGAAGAGACTGGACAGCCATTTGTCTGAAATGGTGTAGGGTTTCCTGCCTGAGCAGGGGGTTGGACTAGATGACCTCCAAGGTCCCTTCCAACTTTATCATTATCATTATTATTATTGTATAATCATCAAGATAGAAATGAAAACTGCACCCAAACACTTTATTCATCTCAAAAACTTTAAAAGTTCTGCTTGTAGAGAGCTACCTAACTGTATGGAAAACCACACATTCTTGCTCATGAGGCAGCTGTTACTGCCATATACCTTGGCCTCAAGCCATGGTAAACATTTATACTAATCCAACATTGTTTGAAAAAAAATCCTTCTTTAGAAAGAATTCAAGGTGTAGCCAAACAAGCTACCGTTCACACACCAAGTTGTGGCTTGCTAAATAAGGCATGAGCTACAGACTTGTCAAATTTGGTCTTTCTTTCATGAATGAACCCGACTTTCATTGTTTTCATTTTTTCACAGCCCCTATTTCACGGCTCTTACACTAATAAATATTAAGCCTTCTTTTCTATGGAGATTCTTAATCATCCAGGTCATGGTTGTCGCAAAGGTACTGTTCAAAAGGCAATTAGACTTTCTTGGGTTTTTTTTTTTCCTTGAACATGTTTCGCTTCTTCAGTTGCTTTTCCAAAAGACAACTGGATTTTCGGGGGGGGGGGTTCCCTTGAAAAACATTTCGTTTCTCATCCAAAAAGCTTCTTCAGTTCTGAAGAAGAAGAAGAAGAAGAAGAAGAAGAAGAAGAAGAAGAAGAAGAAGAAGAAGAAGAAGAAGAAGAAGAAGAAGAAGAAGAAGAAGAAGAAGAAGAAGAAGAGAAAGGGAAGAGGAAGAAGAAAGGGAAGAGGAAGAGGGGGAAGAAGAAGAGGAGGAAGAAGCAGCTTCTTGGATGAGCAGGACGAGGGGGGACATGTAGCGGCCTTCCAATATCTCAAGGGCTGCCCCCAATTTATTGCTTATCACCAATCCTCCATTGTTATAGGGTTGCATTCAAGGTTACTCCTTTGAAGTCAATCAGCGAACTAAAATTTAAAGACGGCTTCCATTCAGCTGTTTAAATTGCTGATAAAATCTTATTTATCAAATTTTGAAACTGCCAATCTCCTTCACACAGGGACTCCGGGCAGGGTACAAATAAAGACTGCCATCTGTCAAATGGTATAGGGTAGGAGTAGGCAACCTTGGCTTTTATGACTTTTATGACTCTTGATGATGGACTCCAACTCCCAGAATTCCTGAGCCAGCATGGGGAACTATGGCCCCCTCATGATTCGTGGACTTCAACTCCCAGAATTCCTGAGCCAGCATGGGGGAACTATGGCCCCCTTCATTACTGAGTTTCCAACTCCCAGAATTCCTGAGCCAGCATGGGGGAACTATGGCCCCCTCATGATTCGTGGACTTCAACTCCCAGAATTCCTGAGCCAGCATGGGGGAACTATGGCCCCCTCATGATTCGTGGACTTCAACTCCCAGAATTCCTGAGCCAGCATGGCTCAGCTTGGAAACCTCGCCCTTTCTCCTCAGCATGGCTGGCTCGGGAATTCTGGGAGTTGAAGTCCACCAGTCAAGATTACCTACCCCTGCCTCCAAAAGTTGTGAATGCTCCAACACTGGAGGTTTTTAAGAAGAGTCACTTCTTAAAAGTGGATAGTTACTTGTCTGGAATGGTTTAGGGCAAGGGTAGGCAACCTTGGCTCTTTTATGACTTGTGGAATTCTGGGAGTTGAAGTCCACAAGTCATAAAAGAGCCAAGGTTGCCTACCCCTGGTGTAGGGACTCCTGTTTGGGCAGGGGGTTGGACTAGATGATCTATAAGGTCCCTTCCAACTCTGTTATTCTATTCTAAGGTGTGAAAACATAAAACAAAATGTATATAAAAATTAAAAGAGGCAAAAGTAATTAACATTCAACATCAAAAAGTTAATTAAAAGGCAGAGGGAGGGCCCTCAGGGCGCTAATCAGTCCCACATCTCCATGCTTCCCTCTGAGCCAAGCAAGGCCATAAAGCCATGCTTTTATGTATGCCTTTTTGGAAGGCCAGGAAAGTGGGGGCCTGCCCCTCCTCTGGGAAGAGACTGTTCCACAGGGTGGGGGCAACAGCAGAGAAGGTCCTCTTTCTGGACCCTGTCAATTGGAACTCTTTAGCTGACGGGGTCCACAATATACCTTCCATGCCCGCCTGGGTGGGCTGGGCTGATGTAAACTTTCATTTCCTTTCTTTAGTGCTTTGCTAAGTTAAACCATGAAAACAGGATAGTATATTGCTCAATGTAAAATGCCTGGTACCCACAGACTCTCTATAATCACCACTTCCTTAAACTACTGCAGTGTGCTTTACATGGCACAGCACGAAATGCACTTGAAAATTGCATTTGATCCAGAATGCAGCAGCCCATAAGCTAATCGTCATCCGTCACTGGCAGGCTATCACATTGGTCTTAGTGGCCCTGCGCTGACTCCTGACAGACCTTCAGATGCAATTTTTTTTTTTTTTTTTAATTGAGAATTTTTAACATTTTACAAAATAAATCCCCTCCCCAAACCCGCCCACCCACCCATACCCTCCCCCAACTCCCCAAACCTCCCTAACCCTCCCCTGAACCTCCCAGAGTTGATTACAGGCTTATCCAAAATGTTTCAAAAGAAAAAAAAGAAAAAGAACTTAAAACACATATAAAACTTAAGACACCTATAAGTCCTAAACAATCCTAAGTACCTTAAATTAAATGAATTATTTCTAGAAAATAATAATAAACACATTATAATATACTCTAAAAATCTTCTAATCTTACTTATAATATTATCCATCCTTCTACATAAGTTTCTTCCAAGACACAATTTTAAGCACTGCTTTCTTTAAACATCTATAACTACAATATAAAGTCTAGCATAAGTCATAAGCAAATCTAAATACATTTAGTTAAACAAGTTATAGTCCCTCCGAAACACAAATTTAAACAATCAGAACTTGAGACATTAGAACAAACAAATTATAGTCAATCAAAAACACAAATCTAAACATTACTTAAAACTTTAAACATTAAAAACCCCACCCAAACACTAAACACATTGTAATATACTCCAATCCTTCTAATATCATAAATATTATTATCATTTTCATAAACTCCCCCAAAACACAAATTTATACATTACTTGAAACTTAAAAAAGGAAAAAAAAACAAAACACCTTTATACTCATTTAAATCTTATCAGATTCCATCCAAAGTAGACAGTTTATAACAAATTCCACCCACAAAAAACACTATAGCAAATTCCATCCACCATAAACACAATAGATATTCAAATCTTCATCAATAACAAGTTGCAACCACAAAAAACCCAGTCCTTATCAATCTCAATTGTCCATTTTCATTCTCCATTCATTATCATACTGATATTATTATTGTCAGCCTCGATTGTCCATTTTCGTTATAAAGCTTAAAACAAATGCTTTAGGATCTGTCCTCAAAAGCTGCTCCAAATTTTCTGAGTCTCCCAACGACTCAGAAGCCAGTACATGTGGGGATTCCTTAAGCTCCTTATTCTGTTGGTCTTTTTCTTTACAATTATATGTTGCACAGATTTTCCTCTGCCCCTTCCTCTCAACTTGTTGACGCCCCTCAGGCTGAAATTTCCCCTTTTTCATCTCAGATGACCCTTCCATCCTTAAAGGTTGCTCCAAAGGATTTATGGGTCTTGCTTCTCCCACAGATTCAGCAATCACTAGGTGTGAAATTTCATTACTCTTCTTCAGTTGCTGCTTTTCTTTACAGTTTTGTGCTACACAAGTTGTCTCCTGCTCCTCAATCTGAACATGTTGAGATCTCTTAAACAGGGGTTCCCCAATTTTAGAGTCTTCAAACTGTAATTCTACATCCATTTCTTCCAAAGTCTTGAACTTAATAGATGGAGATGAACATACCCCCAATACTGAAGTATAAAAATCTTTTGCTTGAGAAACAGTATTAAGTCTGTAACATATTCCCAGGTAATTCACCACCATTCCAATCGGAACATCCCATCTAAACGAAATTCGTCTCATTTTAAGTTCATTTGCTAAAAAGGCAAACTCCTTTCTTCTTCTTAAAATTTTAGATGGGATCTCCTTTAAAATTATAACATCTTGTGAAGCAATTTGAAATCTCTTCTTATAAAAAGCTTGTATAATTTCATTGCGTAAAGATTTCTTCCCAAAGTAAATTACCACATCTCTTGGCAAATTCTTTTGTACTGCCACCGCAGAGTTAACTCTAAATAGTTTTTCAATTTCACTAAGTATTCCTTCTTTTTCTTTATTCAAAATTACAGCAAAGTCCTTTGCAACCATCTCTTTCAGATCTCCTTGCAAGGACTCTCCCAAGCCTCTAATTCTTAAGGCATATTCCATTTGACCATATTGAAGCATAAGAATCTCGTTTTCCATTTCTTTTTCCATATTTTCAATTTTCCCCTCCATTAATTCCACTTTTTCAGCTATTTCTTCCACATGGGAATTCAACTTTTCAAGAACAGAAGCAACTCCTTTTAAAGCCAAGACTATGTCTTGCCTCAAAATCTTATTATTTTCTTCCAAAATCTTTTTCATTTCTGCCCTAATTTGAATTGTAAAATTTCCCATCATTTCTTGCATATCCTTCATAGTTGTTGGCTGGGCCAGAGAAGATTTAGGAACTGTGAGATTCACTGGACGCTTTGGAGCCATCTTAAAAAAAAAAAAAACTTTACTCCTTCTTAAAAATTACAAAAATTCCTTCAAAAGAAAATCATAACTCCCTCAAAGGAAAATCTTTAAATAATGAGAAAAATAAAAAAATAAAAAAAAGGGAGTTAGAAAAGAAGAAAAAAAATAAAAGAAAAGAAATTAAGATATACACTCCAATCATTAAAATGAAAAAAAAAGGGAGAGGGAAGGGAAAAAACCAGAATGCCTGCCCTTTAAAAATACAAGAGACAAAACCACAAATCAAACCAAAACAAGAAGTTAGAATATACACTCCAATCGTTAAAGTGAGAAAAAAAAAAGGGGGGGGGAAACCAAAATGCCTGCCTTTTAAAAATACAAAAAGCAAAACAAAAAATCAGACCAAAACCAGAATGCCTGCCCTTTAAAAATACAAGAGACAAAGCAACAAATCAAACCAAAACAATAATAATACTTCTAAAATCCATCCAATTCATTAAAAAGAAAAAAAAAGGAGAAAGTAAAAAAAGCCGATCGCCACTCTAGCTTCCCAAAAAAAAAAAAAAAAAACGCTAGAAGGTCTCCCGATCGCCATTTGCTTTCTCTTTCAACAAAAAAGCAAATAGTGGAAAAAAAAGACTATAAACAGAACAACAAACCTTTGGATTTAAAATAAAATCAAAGAAGGCGAAAAATAGATCAATAAAAGAAATTAGAATATACACTCCAATCGTTAAAGTGAAAAAAAAAAGGGGGGGGGGAACCAAAATGCCTGCCTTTTAAAAATACAAAAAGCAAAACAAAAAATCAGACCAAAACAATAATGTTTAGAAAATTAAACAACAAAAATTAATAATACTCTAAAATCCATCCAGTCCTTAAAAAAAAGAAAGAAAAAAAAGAGAAGGTAAAAAAGCCGATCGCCATTCTAGCTTCCCGAAAAAAAAAACGCTAGAAAGTCTGCCGATCGCCATTTTACTTTCCCTTTCAGCAAAAAGCAAAAAATAAAAAGAAAGACTATAACAAAAGAATAAACCTTTAAATTTAAAATACATATAAAGTCAAGGAAAGCAAAAAAATAAATCCTCTAAACAACTCTGTCCGCTTCTTAAAAAAAAACTCACTAGATCACTTTAAACGCGGAGGTGGTTGCGAGGGCTTGTTTTGTCCCAAGGACAAAAGCAGCTGGGAAGCGGAGACAGTCTGAACTCCGTGGGAGCACTCTATCACCCCCAAAAAAGGAAAATTGGAGGTACATAAGAGGCTCTACCACTATTCAGACTACCCTCTGCCCCCCCCCTTTGCCCGGGAGGGGGATTTTGAACTGCTGAACAGCTGATGTCTGCTGTTCATAGCGGTTCATTACACTTACCCAGGAGGACGGCTACAAAGTAGCCGCCATCGCCCAACGCAGATCCACCGGAAGTCACCTTCAGATGCAATTTAAAGTGCGGGTTTTGACGTGTAAGACGACCGTGAGGCCTGGTATCACCAGGATCAGAGTCCGAACACAAGGAGCCAGGAAGTAAAAGAGAAAGTCTCAGAAAAGATCAACGGCACTGTTGCCGGCAAAAAAATACATGAAAATGACCACACAGTGTCAAGCTAAGCTCGATAAAGTCCTTACTTCTGTAATATGAGGTAAATGAAGTACAATGGAGAAAAGTTAGGAAACAGGAACAGAGATGAGTCAAGGAAAAGAAGAAATTCTGGGCTAAAACACAGAAAAGAGAGAGGCCTCTTTACGTACATTACGGCTAAAGTTGAGTCGCACATGAGAAAAAGCTGGAGCAGTTTGCCTTATGAAACCGCCACCCTTCCTTGCCCAACGCCTTTTACTAGACGTGTCAGAAAAAAGTTGGCACGCAAGGCTACCTTCTACAGATTTTTCGTAGCCATCGGGGTTCATGGATGGCATGATATGTATCCGAACATTTTGGATCAAGTCAGTCACTTCGGGATCCGTTCCGTAGTTCTTGCAGAGGTACTCTATGAGATTGAGGAGCAGTTCCCGTCCCACGACTTCGTTGCCATGCATGTTGGCAATATACTTGAATTCCGGTTCACCTGGATGGGGAACAGAGACGCGCAGTTTAGCCGATGCATTTAGCAGCCTGTCTATATATGATCACGTGTAGAAGCTGAGGTAGATCAAAGCACACATGCCAACATGAACATACAAGGAGGGAGGGAGATTTCAGTTCTCTCGCTCCCTGTTTAGTTTCTAAACATGAACTGAAAAACACCATCTGCCATCCACCAATGAATCCAAGCTCTGCTCATGCCACAAGCTATTCAAGACAATTAGACAACATTCCGATTTATAAATAAGTACCTTATAAATACATACATATCTAAAGCTTTGGAATTGTAATATTTTGCAGTTAACAAAAGTAATAAAACTGCTTTTTGCTTTATTTTAACAAATGGTCTAGAACAGGGGTCTGCAACCTTAAACCCTCAAAGAGCCACTGGGACCTGTTTCCCAGAGAAAAGAAAACACTGGGAGCCGCAAAACTTGTGCGCACACAAGGGGTGGGGACCTTGAAGAGTTTAATTAAAAAGAAATTGAAGCTGCTGTGCTGAGTTCTCTCTCTCTCTTTCTCTCTTTCCTCTCCCTCCCTCTCTCTTTCTTTCTCTTTCCCCTCTCTTTCCCTTTCCTCTCCCTCTCTGTTTCTCTCTTTCCTCTCCCACTCTTTCCTCTCTCTCTCCCTCTCTCTCTCTCTCTCTCTCTTTCTGCTGTCTCTCTCTCTCTCCGATCTTCTGCTCATCTGGCAAGCTGGCTTCAGGCTGTTCTCCAACAAGCTGACATACATTATTGGGCTGGCTCTCTCCTGCCCTTCCTGCTTCCTACAGAGACGCAGCAAACGGAGGAGACCTGCCCAATAAGTTTGTTGGAACAGCATGAGGCCACTCTTTTTTACACACACACACACACACACAGAGAGAGAGAGAGAGAGAGAGAGAGAGAGAGAGAGAGAGAGAGAGAGAGAGAGAGAGAGAAGGGAAGCACAAGTGCCTCTCTCTGTCTCTGCAAATGGCAGAGGAGGCTGGGAGCCACAGGAGAAGGCTCAAAGAGCCACATGTGGCTCTGGAGCCGCAGGTTGCCGACCCGTGGTCTAGAATGTTAACAGAACTTATAATGGACACAAACCTTAGGAAATAAAACTCATTTGGCCTAAACAAGACTCTTTAGTAAAAACAACATTTGAAATTATTGAAGAAACTTCAACATTTAAACTAAAGATACAACTAAAATTCAATTAACCTTGCCTTAAAAAATGATTATTTTAAACTTAGAAGTCCATCAGCATTTAGACATTTTGTTACTTCAGGAAGTTCTTCCTCAGGCTTGCAAAAGAAACATTTCAAATGTTGTTACTCTCCTATCCCACTTACAAAATTAACTCGGTAGAAAAACATATTAAAAACGTAATGTAGTAAAAACAAAAATATGCAATGAAGAACTGTGAAAAATTCCTCTCCACCTGCTAATTACAGGAGCAGAATTAAAACCGTCAAAATCATAATACTCTACAACAGTATCACTACAATAATTATTGCATGTAGTTGGCCCTGATCACTGCAATTAAAATTGGCTATTTCAAAGCAAATATATTTTAAAAAAATAATTAAAATTGGACCAACTCATTTATGAGGAGAGATTACAGGACATTAGTCTTTCGACCTTTGAAAAACGGTAACTCAGTTAACAGAACCTATTCAAAATCCATAAAACTAGGGAGAAATGTTTTCCCATTTTTTCAAAATACTAGAATCTAAATCAGAGGTCCCCAACCTTTTGGGCATGAGGGACCAGTTCTATGGAGAAAGGTTTTTCCACAGACTGGAGAATGTGTGGTTTTGCATGCTGCCTGCATCCCGTCGATGGGGCTTTGCTTTTTTTCTGCAGACCGGGTTGCTAGCATGCCGGGCCCAGTATTGGTCCACGGACCGGGGATTGGGGACCCCTGATCTAGAACATGCAACAAAAATATGTAATGGGAGATTACCTGCTTCGTGAATGCCTGGGTTATCTGATATCTCCATCGCGTACAACTCCCTTTGTTCCACAGACTTGCCTACCGAGTAGAGTCGGGTAATGTTGGGGTACTCAGTGGCGTATTTCCTCAGAAAGATACCCATATCAGGGAAGTGGTGATGGCGAAAATCATCCGGCTGGATCACCTGGCGAGCAGTGTTTGATCTGTTGACAGCAGTGGTAGTTGCTGCGTCGGCAAGAGAGTTGTTGGCAGTTATCAGCACTTCCTTGGTGGTAGGGCTGGAAGTCACCCCTGTGACGGCGGGATGCAAGGAAAAGTCCACCACAGTTGCATTTTCTTCCTTCACCTCGATGTTCTCTGTGGTGACTGGCAGGTAACTGGTGGGGGAAAAGGGGGAACAATTTGCTTTTAGGCTGACCCTAATCAAGTTTACTTTAATCCCATTCCTACATGCAGACATTGGGGTCAACCTGTTCTCCAAAACACCTGAAGGCAGGACAAGAAGTAACAGATGAAAACTAATCAAGAAGAAAAGCAACCTGGAACTAAGGAGGAATTTCCTGACAGAACAATTAACCAGGGGAACTCCTTGCCTCCAGAAGTTGTGAATGCTCCAACACTGGAGGTTTTTAAGAAGAGACTGGATAGTCACTTGTCTGGAATGGTTTAGGGCAAGGGTAGGCAACCTTGGCTCTTTTATGACTTGTGGAATTCTGGGAGTTGAAGTCCACAAGTCATAAAAGAGCCAAGGTTGCCTATCCCTGGTTTAGGGTCTCCTGCTTGAGCAGGGAGTTGGACTAGAAGACCTCCAAGGTCCTTTCCAACTCTTGTTATTCTATTAAATTGTTTCAAGGACTAGATTACTATTTACCTTTAGGATCAGACAACATTACAGGATGGAGGCAAATATGCCTCATCATCCCACAGATAGCGCTTGACTTCTATATGGAAGGCCTGCATTAGGTACCTAGAATAGTTTAAAGCAAGTCCTCTCTGCGAGTGGGCAATGGTAAGAGCTCCCAATACAAGAGAGTGGTGGTGGTGGGGGAGAAAGGCTTTAAGCTGAATCACAGCAAACACAAAATGTTGAGGATTAAACAGTTTTTGCCCAGCTTGAAACAGGCTGCTTTAATCATTTTGGATGTTTGTCTATATGTGAAATGCTCACAAAATTATTCAAAGCAGTTTTTTATTTGAGACATTTCATACTTAAATGTATTTTAATTAAAAACATTTTGCGAACTCCCAATGGAAATGTTATCTCTAAGCACTAGATTAATTTTAATTTACTCTTTCCAGTTTGGAAAGGCACAGAGCAGACCAAGCACGAAGAGATAAAATATCTCCTCCCCATATTGGCAAGGCCTATCCTATCCTCAAAACCTGGTTTCATCCAACCATCCTTGTTCCCTCGTGGGAAAGGCACGGCTGGGTAATGTACCAGGAGAATGATGGCTTCAAGACATCAGAACTAAGTGATACCAAGAAAGGCTTCATTTCACACACATGTGACCATAAAGAGATTGTCCCTATCAAAACAAACTTTAAATAAAAATACAGTAAAAAGATTGCCTCATAGAACTAGATACACTTAAGAAGATTAATAGGATACAAGGGAGCTTATGATATATTAGTATTAGTATGAAACACAACAGTATTGTGTTTCCTCACTGTATATATAGCATTTTTAAAGCTAAGCACTTTAAAAAAAGAGGGAGGGAGGGAAGGAAGCCGTGATGCTGCAGTGGTTAGAGTGCCGCATTGCAGGCTGACTCTGCCCACAGCTAGGAAGTTCAATCCCGACTGGCTCCAGGTTGATTCAGCCTTCCATCCTTCTGAGGTCGGTAAAATGAGGACCCAGATTGTTGGGGGCAAATAGGCTGACTCTGTAAACCACTTAGAGAGGTCTGTAAAGGACTGCGAAGCGGTATATAAGTCTAAGTGCTATTGCTATAAAGCAGCTCCCTACTAGAAGAAGCTATGCCAAGGATAACCAACATGTCTATGCCTGCTCCATATACTTTACCCCGTGACAGAAGCTGTGATATTATAGGTTCCAGGCACCAACAATCTGTAATAGTCACCGAACTGTCCAGTTGTAATGTTGTGAGCAATCCCGGCCACCGCAATGGTTGCATTTTCCAAGGCAGCCCCAGTGACCAAATCTCTCACAAATCCTTTAATTCCAATGTGTACCTGTATTAAATAAATGAGAATTAGATCCAGAACACTTTGTAAAAAAATTTTTTTAGTATCATGAGGCTACATTATTCCTCTCATATTCAGTAACTTATTAATTTCATGCTAAGCGACCTGTGCAATGTTCTTTTTTTCTCTCATCCTCGGAAAGTTACAGGGTGCTGTTAAGTTTGTACATAAAAATCAAAATGAAATAAAGGGATAGATCAGTGATGGCAAACCTTTTAGAGACTGAGTGCCCAAACTGCAACCCTAAACCCACTTACGCATCGTCGGGTGCCGGGTGGGTGTGGCCCATTGGGTGGGTGTGGCCCATTGGGTGGGCGTGGCTACAGTGGTAACGGAAGGCTGGGTGGGACTAAAAAGTTCAATCAATCAATTCCAACTTTGCAAGACCTTTTTTTTCCCCCCCGCAAGAAGTTGAAATTGACTGATTGATTGAACCTTTTTTTTTTTTTTTGCCCACGGCGGCGGAGGCCTAAAGCAAAAAGGTTTTATAAAACCCAGCTGAAGGCCTAGGACTGGGGCGATGGTGCGCGTGCCCACAGAGAGGGCTCTGAGTGCCGCCTCTGGCACCTGTGCCATAGTTTCGCCACCGCTGGGATAGAACAAGGAAAAATTGGCAAAGAACAGCACAACTTTTACACATCTAGAGCAGCGAGGTAACATCACCAGAAAGAACGAACATCTCTTGGAACGAACATTAGATGAAATGAAACTGGTGAAGCTGCTATAGATTTTATCAGCTCTGCTGATTTCTTTTGCTGTAACTAGGGGACTGTTTCTGCCGTAGCTACTGAAAGAGAACACAGGCGGTCTTTCAAAACCAATATGCCAAGAAAAACAAGAGGACAGCTGTGTGTTTCTGAGTCATGCTTGTAAAAACGAAAGATGAATCAACTCGGTCCAATTTTACAGAAAAACATGCCATTTTTGCGCACTGCTTCACTCAAAACAGCTGGTGAATTCATATGGCTTTAGAATATAAAATTATGTTCAAGAAGGTACGCAAAGCGCATCCTTATTTTATTGCCGTGGCTATGGACAGGAACTTCAATAGAAATTAATGTGGAAAACTGGCAAGCATAAAAGGGAATGTTACATTAAAATATGTGTTATTTAATATTATGCTACTTTCTATGGATTTCATATTCAGCAGTTGTCTTTCTTCATCCTGTCGTTTCTCCTTTGATGTGACATAACTACCTAATGATGGGTTCTCGTTTTATATTTTGCTGGTATTGGATATACAGTATCTTGTTTCCATTTCATAAAAGAGCTTGAAACAGAGTATGTATTAAAAAGCTCACTGAGTAAAGTGAAAGAATTTCCTCCACAGCTAGAAGACTGAGGAAGGTGTCAATAAATTTATGGCCAATTGCTGCGTTTTATGTAAGCCAACTATTGATTTATGAGGACATGGCCTGCAAGCATCAACAGAGTCCTCATGGGAAATATACAATACTATGCCATTTATTTATTTATTAAGTTTTTATCCCACCTTTATTTCTTTCTAAGTAACTCAAAGTGGCAAACATGCATAAAAAGCCGCCTCTGGCAAGATGGGTAGTATACAAGTTTGATATTTCTCCTTTTTTCCCCCCACAACAACAACAACAACAACCCTATGAGATGAATTGGGCTGAGAGAGAGGGCATAAAGTCACCCAGTTGCCTTTTATCCATATCAGGACTAGAACTCCCAATCTCCTGGTTTCTATGCCAGCACCTTTAACCACTAAACCAGGGGTAGGCAACCCAAAACACTCAAAGAGCCGCTTGGACCCGTTTCCCACCGAAAACAAAACACCGAGAGCCACAAAACCCTTTTGATATCTAAAATGAAGATAACATTGCATATATCCTTTTTTTTACCTTTATTATATGTTTGTGTCTGTCTGTGTGTGTGTCTGTGTGTGTGTATACATACACAGACAGGTAAAAAAGGATATATGCAGTGTTATCTTCATTTTAGATGTCTCTGCCAGTCCTCTTCCCCCACTCTCTTTCTTTCTTTCTCTCTCTTTCTTTCCTCTCTCTCTCTCTCTCTTTCTCTCCCCCCCCCCTCCTATCTGCTGCTCACCTGGCAAGCTGGCTTCAAGCTGTTCTCCAACAAGCTCAGGGGTAGGCAACCTTGTCTCTTTTATGACTCATGGACTTCAACTCCCAGAATTCCTGAGTCAGCATAGCTGGGCTAGCTAGCTCTCTCCTGCCCTTCCTGCTTCTTGCAGAGACGTAGCAAAGGGAGGAGCTCCGCCCGAAAAGCTTTTCAGCTCCTCGGAGAACACTTGTGAGTGTACTCTCTTTTACACACACACACACAAAATCACAAACACACACACACACACACAGAGAGAGAGAGAGAGAGAGAGAGAGAGAGAGAGAGAGAGAGAAACAGGGAATCGCAATTGCCTCTCTCTGTCTCTCTCTGCAAATGGCAGAGGAGGCTGGGAGCCACAGCGGGAGACTCAAAGAGCTGCATGCAGCTCCGGAGCCACAGGTTGCCGACCTGTGCACTAAACCAAACTGGCTCTCTTTAAATTTAAATGAAAAGGCATTTATGGAAATATTCAGCTAACAGAGTAGGCAACAGGAGTGAAAACTGTGGAAGAGGGAGCAAAAGATTGCTTCAGGATAAAGTATCATCTTTTTAGACTTTAGTGCGTTTTATGCACAGGTCTCAATGTTTCAGTAAGAGATGAAAAAGGGAAAGAGATTGTATACATGACCAATACCCTGGCAGAGTGAATTATCGGAACAAGTTTAGGCAGGTTTCATCTGCTGCTGCAATACGTGCCTTAAGCCATTTGGTTTAAAGATAAAGACCTTCTCCTCAGGGAACTTAGATGAAGGAAAACTATTTCCATGCCAAAAGGATTTCAGGCAACAGGTTTAGAAACTGAGTGTTGCTCTCAAGTGTGTGACAGAGTGACTAATTCTCTGAGTAATGGTGATAACAGTGACAAACCATGATCTGTTCCTGTTTTAACTGATATTTCAGTAACCTCTGTGGTGATTGCCAGGCTGCAACTTTCGGGAGGATTTTAGCATACGCACAACAGCAAAATGACAAGTGCAGGCTGGATGAAAGCTAATTTTTGCGTTAGCCCCTCTGTTATTAAATTAAATTAAATTATAACTATGAAGTTATAATGATTGAAAAAAGGAAATTATCAATACTGCTGCCGATATAGGAGCAGCTCAACTTTGCCAGCACTCTGTGCTACATTCAGAAAGGACAAATGACTCCTTAACCAGAGGTAATCCTTTAGTCAAGATCTGGACCACACCCTGAACCACAGATTGCATAGATTAGCTCCCATCCCCAGAAGGATACGGACTGTGATTTACAGCCATCCAAGTGATGGAAGTTTCTGGGACTAGGACACAATAACCTAAACTGTAAAAACATGAAATGGCTTAATAAAACATGTCTGTACAGTCAGTAGTTGGGTCTCTGCTCAGCCATTCTTTATTCATACCTTGAAAGGTAGAGTTTGCATATACTTGACTCTAATAATCAGTAGCTGAATACAAGGAATACGACATGTGAATATTGCCAGTGTTGACTTTAGATATGAAAGAGAGATCAGAACAGGAGGTCATTTTGAAAGAGCTATGTGTGACTCTTGAGATAAAGTATTTTTTGAGGATACTTGAATATTTCTGAGCACACACAGCTATGGTGAAAAATCTGAGGGAATTTAGAGAATATAAGGGATACTGGATAAAGCTTGTGAAGAACCAACTTTACTGTCAGAACCCATATTCTAAGGCAGGGTGTCAAATTCAATTTCATTGAGGGCCACATCAGCATTGCGGTTTCCCTTGGGGGGGCGGGGGTGTGTGGCCAGCGTGGGTGCGGCCTACTGGGTGGGCATGGATGGAGTGGGTGTGGCCTACTGGGTGGGCATGGCCAGCTCTACATCATTCGCGTCAAGGGTGCCTGTGGGGGTCTGGGCAGGAGTGGGACAGATCTGAGGGTCTCTGGCAGAAGGGGGTGGGACCAGGGTAAGCGCCAAGGCATGGTCCATTTCTTCATTCCTCACAAAGAGTGACACCTCCCTAGCATGCACCCAGGGGGCGGGGGCGACGTGGCAGGGGCTGGTTCCTCGCTGTTTCCAGACGGCCTTGTGGAGCTAAGACTGAATGCGTTTCAGCATAGATGGCCACCACAAAATTGTACATTGGCTCTCGGCCGGCCTGGGCCAGGGCCAAGGCAGCGGGGGCCGTTCCCTGTTTCCAGGATGGCTTTGCGGGCCGCATCTGGCCCCCGGGCCTTGTGTTTGACATGTCTGTTCTAAGGGGTCTTTCCTTTATTTAACTCAAATTCTATTCTCTCTACAATTCTGGGTTCTGCCATGCTCCTGGAGGGGGGGGGGGAGAAAGCATTGCGGGTTATTGCCTTGGTTTCCTCTATAATAAGTGACAATAAAATTTGTATTATTATTATTAATCGCTACATTGTAACACTTTGCTGTTTCTGCATACTTCCTCTGTAAATTATCTCTTTCCTTGATGTCAGCTAGAAAGGGGGGGGGGGGAGAAGAAAGGAATGGCCCTCCAGCAACTGGGTTATCTCCACATTTGCAAGGGAAGGTGCAAAGAGCCAACAAAACATTGCTGCAGCCCTGAGGCAGCCTGGTGTTATCTCCTCTTTCCCACAACGGACTTAACACCTGGGGATTGGCCTGTTGAACTGACCGGATGAACTACGGGGTGGGGTTTGCTTGGGACACTTTTAACCCTGACATTTACTCTGGGCAAATGAAAGGAAAGGAACTTGAGCGAGGGGAAAAAAATTAATTTACTTATGCCCTGCTTCGTTGGGTAATTGTTAAATGCGTTATCAGTGATAAGAAATTGAGACAAAGATCTGATGAACACAGATCTGATTACGGCTTAACCATTCATAATAAACAGGGTACAATTAACTGGAGTTACAAAACTGCTAAAATTAGACACAATTATTATTACAGTTTAGCGTATTTCTCTAAACCAACGTCTTTTTGTGATACGAAACAAAAAAAAAATTCAAACACGGATCACTGATACGTCTTTCTGTTTAAATACTCTGTTTAAATAATTTGGTGTACCACAATTACATTTTCTGTTATTTATTTGGTATGAACAATGCTAAGCTTTATGTGGGTCATAAAACAATCATACCAACATTAAATGCTATGTTTGGTCCAATTTATGAGTCAAAGGGGATTAAGGCAGAGGGGAGCTGACAAACAAGAAGCATATTCAAAATCTACAGGCGAAGAAAGCCTTGACAGAGATGAATGAAGTCTTTTCATTTTCCAGAACAAAGACAGACTCAAATATACAAGGATTGTTTGCTAATATAGCCAAGAAGAGAGTTAAAAGTCAAATCTTACTTTTTCAATAAAAACGAGCAAAGATTCCCGGTTATTCAGCCATTCTTGCTCAAGCTGAGCAGCTGGTGGATATTTGCAGCAGGAAATTTCAAAGGTGACCTCAAAGCAGTTAGCCCAAAGATAGTTATAATCTTGCATTCCACCTAAGGAATTTAAAGAAAGAATAAGTGAAATAATTAAGCAAAGAACAATCTTTTGTTATCAACCGACTCTCTTCACAACATTTCAAACGAGCATTTTTCAGTAGCCTGAAAAACCCGTTTGTGCAAACTAGAAAAAAAAGTTACAACTTTCAAAGAAAAAATGTTCCCCCATTGAGGAGGGGAAAAATCGGAAAGATATCTGCTACTTTAAAAACAATAATTGATAACTTTGAGATCGTGCAACCTCTCTATTTGTCATACGCATTCATGTTTACAAAAAAACCTTAACGTGCTAATATACAGGAGCCCCGATTTTTCATTATGTCTGAGGCATTTTATTATACCCCTTTTGTCTTTTTATTCTTCAGTAGGTCAACACTTGATGCTTACAATAGGCCTAACCTTTCAAGTCTACCATATTGATATTTAAATATGTATGTTAATTTAAATGTATTTTAATAATAATAATAATAATAATAATAGCCTGGAGATAGCAGAATAGAAGAGAAAGAACTGGAGAAGATAACAAAATACAAAGACCTACAAATAGAAAGACTGTGCAAAAGCAAGCAAGGGTAGTACCAATAGTCATAGGCTCCTTGGGTGCAATCCCAAAACAACTGGAGCACCACTTGAACACCATTGGCATTGACAAATTCGCTATTAGTCAATTGCAAAAGGCGGCCTTATTAGGAACTGCTTCCATCCTGCGACGATATCTGTAATACCATCAAACATCCACATCTGCCTATCCCAGGTCCTGGGTAAGGACTCGATAGGTAGATAAAATGCCAAATCCAGTCTGAACATCTGGCTGACTGTGCGATGATCCATAATAATAATAATAATAATAATAATAATAATAATAATAATAATAATAATAATAATAATAATAATAATAATAGGAAGATGAGAGCTATGCCAGAGGTTCAACCATACTGGACAGGTCTCATCAGAGGAGTCAGACAAAGAGTGTCTCTCCCATAAAAAATATGGTGAGACGTAAATTTCAGAATGCCATACCGGCTCGGACGTCGCCCGGGTTAACAATGTCCGCACTAGATATTGGAGTTCCTGGATATCTGGTGAAAAATGGGTTACAGGACTCAGGACTGTTGGCTGAGCAACCAGGGCCAGCAGCTGCAGAACTACTTGAAGAAAAGGTGTTTACCCGTCGCAGATACACAGTGATGGAAAACAAAGAAATAATGATCTGTTACTACAGATCAAGTCCAACAAGACGAGGATATCTAAAACAAATGCACCAATTCTGGAAAGAACAACATCCAGAATCAGAAATAACAGAACAGAGACTAGCAGATCAACGCCGATTTATAACACGAAATAAAGTATTTACAGAAACAGAATTAGACGAACTGCAAAGGTTTACCCAGGGCAAAGAAATCAAAGCCTTACAAGAAGTAATTCAGAATGTAGAGGCAAACCACGGGGAGTTGGCAGTGAAAGAATCCAGTAGAGATATACAACTGTTCTCATTTGGAAACCAGGCACCTCTTCCTCAGGAAGAACAAAACCCTCTAACTAAAGAAATAAAAGAATTGAAACAAAGAATAACTGAGCATCTAGAACAGCACAACAACAACAGAATAAGGCTACCTGCATTGAAGCTTGTTCCAAAGAAACAGCTAGCACAAGCATTAAAAGATGCAAATATTGCAATAGCAAGTATAAGCACCAATTCACTGCAAGAAACAAACCAATTAATGTACAGCACAGCTGCAGTTATAACAGAATACCTGGGATGTAAAATCACCAAAAAAGAAAAACAAACAAACAGTGCACCACAAAAATGGAAGGTTAGACTAGAAAATAAGATCAGCAAGTTAAGATCACATGCAAGCAAGCTAGAACAGATGAAAGAAAAGAAGCTGAAGAACAAGAAGACCAAAGAATACCTAATCAAGAAATACCACTTAGAAACAAGGAAGATCAAGGAAGCACTGGAAATAATAAAGCAACAAATAACAGCTATAGCCAGGAAAATCAGTAGATATGAAGCTCGAATTGCAAACTATAGGCAGAACCTCCAATTTCAATCCAATCAGAAACGTTTCTACCAATCCATCAATGGAGAAACTGCAAGGAATCAGTCAGTACCTGACAAGGAAGAAACAGTGCAATTCTGGAAGCAGATATGGGATAACCCAAAGAAATACAACAAGGATGCAGCTTGGTTAAAAGAGGTGGATGCAAATAAAACAGAAGTTGAAATGAAAGAACTAGTAATAACAACAAAAATGGTAGAAAAAAGAGCAAAGAAAATCAAAAATTGGTCAGCACCAGGTGAAGATGAACTGCATGGGTTTTGGTTGAAACATCTAACTGTTATACACCCACTCATTGCCAAGCAATTCAACAATATACTACAAGGAGGAGAAATTGAAAAGTGGCTAACAACTGGGAAAACCTACCTAATAATGAAAAATCCAGCAAGAGGGGCAACACCAGGTAACTACAGGCCAATTACCTGCTTACCAACAACTTTCAAATTACTAACTGGTGTGGTAGCTGATGCAGTACAACAGCATCTAGTTGAAAACAATCTCTTTCCACCTGAGCAGAAAGGAAACCGCCCCAATAGCAGAGGAACAAAAGATCAACTCCTAATAGACAAAATGATCTTGGAAAACTGCAAGAAAAGGAAGACCAACCTGAATGTGGTATGGATTGACTACAAAAAGGCATTTGACTCTCTTCCACATGACTGGATAATCAAGTGCCTAGAAATAACAGGAGTCAGTAGAAACATCAGAAAATTTGTGCAAAGATCGATGGCACAATGGAAGACACAGTTGCAGATCAATGGTGAGAGGCTGGGAGAGGTTAATATCAAGAGAGGAATATTTCAAGGAGATTCATTATCACCATTACTATTTGTTATTGCACTGTTTCCTCTGTCAACAATACTGAATAACTCAGGACATGGTTATCAAACATCAAAAACATCTGCTAGACTATCCCACCTCCTTTATATGGATGATCTGAAGCTGTATGGAAAAACATCATCTGAAATAGAATCGCTGCTCAACACTGTCCGTATATATAGCCAAGATATTGTAATGGAGTTTGGCTTGGACAAATGTGCCACACTTACTATCAAAACAAGGAAAAATAGTGAAAACTGAAGGAATCAAGATGCCCCACGAAAATAACATTAAAGTCTGGATGAGGAAGAATACTACAAATACTGGGGTATCCTTCAAGCTGACAACATCAAGCACACTGAAGTCAAGAAAAAGATTAGAGGTGAATACATCAAGAGAGTGAAGAAGATCTTAAAATCCAAACTCAATGGAGGAACTACCATAAAGGCAATCAACACTTGGGCAATCCCAGTCATTAGGTACACAGCTGGAATAGTGGACTGGACTCAAGCAGAACTAAAAGCAATGGATAGGCAGACCAGAAAAATAATGACAATGAATCATGTCCTTCATCCACGCAGTGACATTGATAGACTTTATCTACCAAGGCAAATAAGTGGGCGTGGAATGCTACAAGTACAACAGATGGTTGAAGAAGAAAAAATGGGCTTTGGAAGAATATCTGAAGAACAATTATGAGATGCACTGAAATTAGTATATCAGGAAGGCTTACTAACTAGCTGGAGAGACCAAACTGGCCTACAAGAAAGACCAAATGAAGAACAGAATAGAGGCATGGGAAGACAAAGCACTACATGGCAAATACATGAAAAAAATAGCTGGGAAAGCGGATAATAATAAAACCTGGCAATGGCTAAGAGCAGGAAAATTGAAGAAAGAGACCGAGGGACTAATTCTGGCTGCACAAGACCAAGCCTTAATGACAAATGCATACAAAGTAAAAATTGAGAAGACAGCAACAGACAGTAAGTGCCGCCTATGCAAAGAAGCTGAAGAAACAGTGGACCACTTGGTAAGCTGTTGCAAGAAGATTGCAAAGACTGACTACAAGCAGCGGCATGACAAAGTAGCAACAATGGTGCATTGGAAGATCTGCAAAAAATATCATTTGCCTGTAAGCAAAAACTGGTGGGATCAAAAAATAGAGAAAGTCATAGAAAATGATAAAATTAAACTGCTCTGGGACTTCAGAATTCAAACAGACAAGCACCTGCAACATAACACCCCCGACTTAACAATTGTCGATAAGAAAGACAAAAAAGTCTGGATAGTGGACGTGGCAGTGCCTGGAGACAGCAGACTAGAAGAGAACGAACTGGAGAAGATAACAAATACAAGACCTCAATAGAATAGAAAGTACTGTGGCAAAAGTCAAGCCAGTGGTAGTACCATATTCTAGGCTCCTTGGTCGCAATCCCAAAACAACTGGCACCACTTGAACACCATTGGCATTGACAAAATTTGCTATTAGTCATTGCCAAAAGGCGGCCTTATTAGTAACTGCTTCCATCCTGCGACGATACCTGTAATACCATCAAACATCCACATCTGCCTATCCCAGGTCCTGGGTAAGGACTCGATAGGTAGACAAAATACCAAATCCAGTCTGAACATCTGGCTGACTGTGCGATGATTGAGAATAATAATAAAATAATCAACACCTGGGCAATCCCAGTCATTATGTACACAGCTGGAATAGTGGACTGGACTCAAGCAGAACTAAAAGCAATGGATAGGCAGACCAGAAAAATAATGACAATGAATCACGCCCTTCATCCACGCAGTGACATTGATAGACTTTATCTACCAAGGCAAATAGGTGGGCGTGGAATGCTACAAGTACATCAGATGGTTGAAGAAGAAAAATGGCTTTGGAAGAATATCTGAAGAACAATGATGAAGATGCACTGAAATTAGTATATCAGGAAGGCTTACTAAATACTGGAGAGACCAAACTGGCCTACAAGAAAGACCAAATGAAGAACAGAATAGAGGCATGGGAAGACAAAGCACTACATGGCCAATACATGAAAAAAATAGTTGGGAAAGCAGATAATAATAAAACCTGGCAATGGCTAAGAGCAGGAAAATTGAAGAAAGAGACCGAGGGACTAATTCT